ATAAGGCTCTCGGGAGACCAACAGAGGCAATCATGTGTTATCAGCATGCCTTACAGATGCGGCCAAACTGTGCAATGGCATTTGGTGAGTGTTATTTGATCAAGTAATTGCTTGCTCTAATAAAATCTACTTGCTCAAGTAAATGCGTGATGCCTCTTTCAAAATTGAGTTATAACTACTTGATGCAGGAAATATAGCCAGTATATACTATGAGCAAGGTCAACTGGATTTAGCAATTCGGCACTACAAGCAGGCTATCTCCCGAGACCCACGATTTTTAGAGGCTTACAACAACTTGGTTAGCATCACAACACATATTATGTGGGTTTTGTGGTCTATGAACAATATTTCTGACATATGATCTTCTTGCGTTTGCGACTTGAAGGGTAATGCTTTGAAGGACATTGGGCGAGTTGATGAAGCAATACGGTGTTATAATGTAAGTGTGGTCCCTTTTTCAGGCTTGCTAATGAAATCGCACGTTACTGACAAATCAATGGTTTTGCAGCAATGTCTTGCTTTACAACCAAATCATCCTCAAGCAATGGCCAATCTTGGAAATATATATATGGAGTGGTATGTGGTTCTTTCTTGGTTCGTACTTGATGTATACTATTATAATTTCCTAACGTCATGGCACATTGTGAACAGGAATATGATGGGTCCTGCTTCCTCATTATTCAAGGCTACTTTGGCTGTAACTACAGGGCTATCTGCACCTTTCAATAACCTTGCAATAATCTACAAACAACAGGTAGCTACATGCCCCTTTATCAATGTTCAATCATTTTTGGACTGTTGAACATATTTGACGAATTTTGGTTGTATTTCTCCTTAACTACAGGGAAATTACACAGATGCTATATCCTGCTATAATGAGGTTCTTCGTATTGACCCATTGGCAGCTGATGCTCTTGTTAATAGAGGCAATACTTACAAAGAGATCGGGAGGGTATCTGAAGCAATTCAGGATTACATGCATGCTATTACTTTCCGGCCTACAATGGCTGAAGCTCATGCAAACCTGGCCTCAGCTTACAAGGATAGGTATCCATTCTCCGCATTGTACATTTATAATGTATATCAGATACGTGTTCAAATACCACCTATCCAAGAACAGGGCAAAGAAAATTTTGCGTATTGCACTGTCTATCTTGAATAGAGTATGGCCTTATGTAGTTATATATCCGAAAATTATGGACAATATGCATCACTATAAGCCTTTGTATAATCCCGTAAAGTCCTTATGGTGCTTTGGTGTTAGTTAGGCTCTTGTTTCGTGGGATTAAGAATATTTAAGACGTGGCAGTATAACATTGGCCATCTTTAACTGCGTGTGTTCCACTAGAAATATATAGATTATATATATATATATAATGTTTTGGTTGATGTATTTGTTGGACCTTCTTGCATAAGCAGTGGGCATGTGGAAGCTGCCATAACGAGCTATAAGCAGGCCTTGCTACTACGACCAGACTTCCCAGAAGCAACTTGCAACCTTCTACACACCTTGCAGGTAATTCTTTTTCGTAGTTTGATGTCACACGTTTGATATGATAGCTTTTCTCTCCGTTTCGTGGTTCTTGTTAACTCACCTACTTTTCCACTCCCCTGAGTTTATTCTTCTTTCCTGTACAGTGTGTATGCTGTTGGGAGGACCGTAGCAAAATGTTCACTGAAGTTGAAGGCATTATTAGGAGGCAAATAAATGTAAGTATTTTTGGCCACAATACTTTTGGTACTTATATGCTTTTACAAAGTAAGGAAATAGCATACCCTTTGATCCTATCTTCAGATGTCGGTCCTTCCAAGTGTCCAGCCGTTCCATGCAATAGCATACCCTATTGATCCTATTCTTGCCCTCGAAATCAGGTTTGAACCTGAAACTCAAAACGAATACTTGTCATACATATGTTCATGGTCACTTCCTTTCAGGTTTGAACCTGAAACTCAAATCAGGTTTACGACTGTTTTTTTTTTTCAGTCGTAAATATGCTGCACACTGCTCTATAATTGCTTCCCGTTTTGGACTACCTCCCTTTAACCATCCAGCTGGGCTCCCTGTAAAGCGTGAGGGAGGATTTAAGAGATTAAGGATTGGATATGTGAGCAGTGATTTTGGTAATCATCCGTTGTCACACCTCATGGGATCAGTGTTTGGGATGCACAACAGAGAAAATGTTGAGGTTTGTATCCTGCTTTTGAATATTTGTTGATTCATTTCTTAAGTTCTTCTTTAATATCATATCGAAAGTTTAGGTTCTTGAATCAGTGGTTTTTAGCGAGCCCATAAATTCGTGCATACTAGGTTTAGTTCTCATGATGGGAGGAATGTATGGAACCAAACGAATCCTGTTTGTGGAATCTAGGATTTTCAGTAATCGATGGTAGATCATTCTGTATCTGCCTATCCTCTGTTTGGAATCTGGGATTTCAGCAAAGCAAACCACTTTTTTACAGGTGTTCTGCTATGCATTAAGTCCAAATGATGGTACTGAGTGGAGACAGCGTATCCAGTCCGAAGCCGAGCATTTCCTGGACGTTTCTGCTATGTCGTCCGATGCTATCGCTAAAATTATAAATGAAGACAAAATCCAGATCCTCATCAATCTGAATGGTTACACAAAGGTATGCTCTGAACATTTCAGAAATGTTTTACTCTGGAGCTGCAACCAACCAACCAACCAACCCCATGGAAATCTTTTTGGTAATGGTGTTTTGGTTTAACCTATGCAGGGGGCTAGGAATGAAATATTTGCTATGCAGCCTGCACCAATCCAGGTTTCGTATATGGGCTTCCCGGGTACAACTGGGGCAACCTACATCGACTATTTAGTTACTGATGAGGTTAGAGTCTTCGGGAAAAGAATAAAATTCAGAACATATATCTTTTTCTCCCAACTCCATTTTCGATGTTTTGACTGGTAACTCTCTTTTCCTTTTCAGTTCGTGTCTCCTCTGCAATATTCACATATTTACTCAGAGAAGCTTGTCCACCTTCCACATTGCTACTTTGTCAATGATTACAAGCAGGCATGTTCAGAGAAAAGTTCTATTTACCATGTTATTGGACATCTATTGATCTTTGGTGGTTTTTGAGTAAAAAAAAACTCATTGTATAAATGCTTTTTGCAGAAAAATCAGGATGTGCTGGATCCAAATTCCAAGCCCAAGCGATCTGACTATGGACTTCCTGAAGACAAATTCATATTTGCATGCTTCAACCAACTGTACAAAATGGATCCTGAGATCGTCAATACTTGGTAAATGTTTATCTAAGGTTTTGAGTTTGCTTGCCAACTTTTACAAACGACGTTCTAAACTGTCATGGAAGCATATATAACAACCTGTAGCTAATCGATAGAGATATCAGTTTACATTTTCGCCAGGTGATTTGTCTGTTTTTTTTCCCTGTTACCACGTAGGTGCAACATTCTTAAAAGAGTACCCAACAGTGCTCTTTGGCTTCTCCGTTTCCCTGCAGCTGGAGAAATGAGGTTTCGCACATGTATGTGTGGTTACATTCCCATTGCTTAGCGTTTCTTGTTTTTCTGTTTTCATCACTTCTTACAACTCTATTGTATGACCAAATATCCAGATGCTGCTGCCCAAGGTGTACAGCCTGGTCAGATAATCTTCACGGATGTTGCCATGAAGAACGAACATATCAGGCGAAGTGTCCTTGCTGATGTAATCCTCGACACGTGAGTTCTTTTTCCGGCTCCACTAAAGTCATCTCTACTTCATTTTATCTGAAACACAAATACAAAACCCATTCTGCCACAATTTGACTCCCCTCTTCCCGTTCTTAGGCCTCTGTGTAACGGACACACAACAGGAACAGATGTTCTCTGGGCTGGTGTACCGATGATAACATTACCACTTGAGAAAATGGCAACTCGAGTTGCTGGATCACTCTGCCTTGCAACTGGTCTGGGACATGAGATGATTGTTAACAGGTGAGTCTTAGCATAAACTAACTTGTGCTTTGTTCTGTATCCTTTGTTTATATGGATGAGATATTCATGACACGCTTATGAAAACAGCTTGGAGGAATACGAAGAGAAGGCGGTCTCTTTGGCGCTGAACAAGCCAAAACTTCAGGCACTGACTAAGGAGTTGAGGGCTAGCCGCTTAACCTGTCCTCTATTCGACACCATGCGCTGGGTTAGTTTGGCAACACTTTTCCGACTCCATTCCTCTCCTCTTCGGGTTTATTTCTTAACGGATTAGCTTTCCATTGGCTACAGGTGAAGAATCTTGAGAGGTCATACTTCAAAATGTGGAACCTTCATTGCTCTAGACAGCAGCCTCAACACTTCAAAGTTATGGAAAACGACCTGGAGTTCCCACATGACAGATAAAGTTATGAAGGGAAAGAAAACTGAAACACAAGATTCACTCGGCACTGTAAATAAAAACCGAAGAGAAAATTAGTATCAGAAAGATTGATAAATTAATTATCAGGAGTTTCAGGGCCGTGTCTATAATATGGATTGAGAAATATTGGTCTAGGGTCTAACTTTAATATAATACTCTTAAAAGCTTATTTTTTACAAAAACATATTACATTTATGTTTCATAAGGATCGCTTATGAACCTCAGACACAAGTAAACCTTTTCCTAGTAGTTCCCAACCAAAGCCAGACAAAGATTTTACCATAGTAAAGCAAATTCCCGTGTGATATTAGCTAAAAAATGTCTCAACAAAATCTTTAGCGGTTTTTATTGCCACCATAAACACAAATCGAGATCGGAAGTCAAACTGTTACAAACTAAACGACGTTATAAGCCGGAAAGTTTAATTTAGGAAAAGTTTTAAAGAAACCCGCAGATTAACTAAAGAACCAGCCGGTTAATCTAACCTAGTCCCTATTTTGATGTACCTTCGGCCCATGTTTACCCATATTTTATGAGCCTTTGAAATCAGCCCATTAAAACTAATCGAGCCCATTCTCACATTTACCTATAAAAGCTTATGCTTCTCTTCGGCACCTCGGATTAGGGTTTCTTTTCGTCTCATATATCATTTTGGCTGCAGGGAAGCACCGAATCATAAACCCTAGCTATGGCGAGCAAACCGGCGGTAGAATCTGTGCAATGCTTCGGAAGGAAGAAGACGGCGGTTGCTGTCACCCACTGCAAACGCGGCTCTGGCTTGATTAAGCTCAACGGTTGTCCGATCGAGCTATATCAGCCGGAGATCCTCCGCTTCAAGATTTTCGAGCCAATCCTCCTCCTCGGGAAACACCGTTTCGCCGGAGTTGACATGAGGATCCGTGTCAAAGGTGGTGGTAACACATCTCAGGTGTACGCAATCCGTCAGAGCATCGCCAAGGCGCTGGTTGCTTACTACCAGAAGTATGTTGATGAGCAGTCGAAGAAGGAGATCAAGGATATCTTGGTCCGATACGATAGGACTCTTCTCGTTGCGGATCCGAGGCGGTGCGAGCCCAAGAAGTTCGGTGGTCGTGGTGCTCGTGCTCGTTTCCAGAAGAGTTACCGTTAAAATCTGGTTTGGGGTTTTCTCTCAACGTTTTGGGATTTGTGTTGTTGGAATTGTGAGACTTTAGATTCTCTTTTGCATTTTTCTCTTTCTTTAATGGTTATTGGATAATGGTTACTTGCTGCTAAAGAACTCATCGTTCAACTATCGAATGGTTGTTAATTTGTCTTCAAGTTGTTTCTTTTAATCAGTACTTTCATCTATTGTCCATGTTTGATGAATTTGATAAATTGTCTGTCTTGGTCATTCTATCTCTCAAATATCTGGCTTGTAGTTGCTTTAGGAGTATAGCTGATTGAAATAATTAAGCAGGCTTGTTCATGAAACTTGATCGTTGATTTTTACTTTGAGATATCGATTTTGAATGACTCCTTTAGCCGCAATTTGATCTCACTAGAGAAACGAATGGTATGTTTGATATTTAGCCTGTTTGTTTTTGAAAAGAAAAACAGTGGAAGCATGAATAATTGTAGCCTCAAGTCTCGTAGAAATGGTAATGTATGAATCGGTGCTACTAAGAATGATTATATAACTCTATATTTAATTGATTAGGATTGTTGTATTGATTCTTCGTTCCCCTTTTGAACTTATCAAACTTGCTTCCTCAAACGAACCTCGAAACAATTTCAGCCTCACGTTCCCTGTTCGTGATTCTTAGCAAAGTAGACGTTGAACGTTGTTACAGAAAAAGCGTTTAGTCGACGATGCTGTATCAATTATTTATAGTTTGAAGAATCAAACGTTTTGATAAAAAAAAAAAAAAAAATTTGAAGAATCAAACGCTAGCGTCTGAGTGAGCGTTCAATTCTAGTCTCAGCTTCTAGAATACGTTAATTGCCAAAGTACCCTTACATAACTTTGAAATTTAAAAAAGAGCCAAAAATTAAATCTTAATTCCAATTCCGAAACGCCGAAAATATCTCCTCTCTCGTCGACACCATCGCCTGCTGTCGATTCGCTGCCGACAATGTCGGAGGACCTTCACACTGTCTTCGGTGAGTTGTTCCTTAAATTTACGAACAAACCCATCTTCACGCTGTCTTCACTCTGACTGGTGAGTTATCGTTAGTTTCCGCTTGAAAGTTTTTTTTTTCTTTTTCAAAATTTGTTGCTTTGTGTGGTTATAAGTTTATTGCAATAATGAATCGTTGAGTTTCGTTTTACATTAGACAAAATCCTTTTGAAATTGACATCATGTTGGATCTCTTACGACTTGTGCAACTTCAGTTATGACTTATGAGGTAGCCATTCACTGATCTCTTTACCGTGAATTTGCATATCTGTGAACTTGCATTTTTGGTGGAGACTTTGATTTGATTACTGCTTCCTTGTAATTGCTTGTCTTCTTCCTTGCTGCTTCCTTCTTAAAATAGAATATTGACAATATGGATTTTGGGCTGTTACTTCTTCTGAAAGTGTAATGTTACATTATTCATTTTCTCTTTGTTTGTTTTCTCTGCGAACAGAGTTTTTGGTTTGTTTTTTAATCTCTATCGATATAACTATGTATTGGAGAAATTCCATAGTCGTATAGAAATTAAGATGTGTGGAAAGTGGAAACCATATGGAACCAAGTTCTTAAGATGATTCTTTCTTTATTATCCCTCGACCCCATTTCTCAATTGAGTGTTAATTACTTACTTTAAGTCTTTGAAACTACTTATGTATATGTGTGTTCCAATCTCAAGATAATAAAGGTTCTTTGACTTCTTAGAAACTTCCAAACGATTGTGGAGCCAAACATGATTAGGACATTTTTTTTTTCAGTCAACATTTTGGCCTTCTCAGCCTACAATAAGTCACCATTTCTAGACTTTGTTTTCCTAATTGTCTTAGTTTACGTAAGATCTATGAATCTTCCTGTTGGTAAAGAAAGACAAGACTTGGATGGATCTCTCATTGGGCTACGGTGATAATACATTTGTGTCCATACAAATCTTTTTCTTTCTGCAGATTGGTTTTCTGAAAAACTGACTTTTCATCTCTCTGATCGTTTCATGGCTCTTTCTGCTTTGCCTCGCCATTTCAAACACCATGTCTTCCCGAGCTTCCACGGGGAAGATGTCCGTAGAGGTTTGCTCAGCTACTTACTGAAGGAGTTCAGAGAGAAAGTAATCGACGTCTTCATAGACAATGATATAGAGAGGAGCAAACCGATTGGTCCCGAGCTCAAAGAAGCTATAAAAGGGTCGATGATTGCAATTGTCTTGATCTCGAGGAACTACGCTTCATCAACATGGTGTCTCGACGAATTGGTGGAGATCATGAAGTGTAGGGAGGAATTTGCTCAGACGGTGATGGTGGTTTTCCATGAAGTGGAACCATCTGATGTGAAAAAACAGAACGGATATTTCGGATCTGTCTTTGCGAAAACTTGTGAAGGGAAAAAACCAGAAGCAGTTGAGAGATGGAAACAAGCTTTGCAGGAAGTGGCCAAAATCGCCGGGTATCATTCTCTCAAATTGTAAGTCCTTTTGATTTCCACCTCGTCATTTTAACACAACTCTAGTGTTCATGGCCACTTACATTATACTGTTGATAGTTTTTTGTGGAAGTACATGCCAGTTTTTTCCTGACTATTAAATGATGTATTGATCTCTTCTTTGTTTAGTGATAGTGATTCAGATATGATTGAAACAATTGCCACCGATGTTTCGGACAAGTTGAATGACTCTACTGCAGCGAATGATAGTGACAGCTTAGTTGGGATTGGAACTCATACTATGAAGATGAATTCTTTGCTGTCCTTAAAATTGGATGAAGTCAGGATGGTTGGTATCTGGGGTCCTGCTGGGATTGGTAAGACGACCATCGCCAGAGCTTTATATAGAAAGCTGTCTAGTAACTTCACACATACCGCTTTTATTGAGAGTATCAAGGGAAAATTTGAGCAAAACTATCGAGACGAGCACGCGTTCATGTTGCATTTGCAAGAACAACTTTTGTCTAAGACCTTAAATCAAAAGGATCTTAGAATAGGTCATTTGGGTGTGGCAAAAGCAAGGCTGAAGAACAAGAAAGTGCTTGTCGTTCTTGATGATGTGGATGACTTAAAGCAGCTAGAAGCCATGACTGACAAAGCTTGCTGGTTTGGCCCTGGAAGTAGGATTATCATCACGACAAAGGATAACAAGATTTTGAAGGCGCATGAGATCAACCATATTTACCAAGTGGGTTTTCCATCTACATCCGAAGCTCTTGAAATCCTCTGCCTATCTGCTTTTCGTCACAAATCGCCACCATCTGGTTTTGAGGACATGGCCTTAGAAGTTACACGGCTCGCTGGTAACCTTCCATTGGGTCTACGTGTTTTTGGCGCATATTTGCGAGGAATGTCCAAAGATCAGTGGATACACGCATTGCCTAGACTTCGGACCAGTCTTGATGGGGATATTGAGAAAGTATTAAGGTTCAGCTATGATGCTTTATGCGATGAAGATCAAGACTTGTTTCTTCACATAGCATGCTTTTTCAGAGGTGGGTGCATTCGTGACGTGGTGGAGTATCTTGCAGAGAGTCGCTTTAATGTTATCCACGGGCTCCAAGTCTTAGTGGATAAATGTTTCATATCTATTTACGGAAATGGATATTTCATGATACATAATTTGCTGGAACAATTGGGTAAAGATATCGTCCGTAGACAATCTGTTTTTAAGCCTGGGAAGCGTCAGTTCTTGGTGGATGTTCGTGATATTCGTAATGTACTCGAGGAAAATGAAGTAATTTTCGACATGAATTTTTCTTCAGTCATTTCTCACTTCGATGTCAACAATCATTTGTGTAACTAACTAAAAGTTCTTTCAGGGCACTAAAACTATTCGAGGGATAGATTTTGACTTATCGGAGGTCAGTGAAGAAATAATGATTGACGAGAGAGCCTTTGAAGAGATGTCTAGGCTCCAGTTCTTAAGATTCAAGAAACGGGGTTTGTATAACAACGCCAAACTTGTCTTACCAAAGGGTCTGAAGTTAAGAGGTAGTAAACTTAGATTTTTCGAATGGGAAGAGTTTCCGTTGACATGTTTTCCTCGTGAGTTTCATCCTCAGCGTCTTGTCAAACTTGATATGCAGCACAGCAGGCTTGAAAAGCTGTGGGAGGGGCCTATTGTAAGTAGTTTTACCATCTTATTTCGATGGTTTGTCGATGTGCTCTCATCTTCTGCCTTAATTTATATGTGCAGCCGCTTCCATGTCTGAAGAAGATAGATCTGTCATGCTCCGACAACCTCAAAGAAATCCCTGACCTGTCTAATGCTTTTAATCTCGAGGTACTGAGAGCTTCTATTTGCTCAAGTCTGTCGGAGATCTCCTCTATTGGCAAGGCCACAAGTCTCCACGAATTGCACCTTGCTGGTTGCATAAACTTGATGTCGATCCACTCTTCTATTGGGAATGCCACGAATCTCAAGACGTTGAATGTCAACTTATGCCATAGTTTGGTTGAACTCCCCTCCTCTATTTGGAGCCTCAAGAGGTTAACGAAACTGCAAATTTTAGGCTGCGTGAAGCTAAACCATTTGGGCTCACAGTTGCAGAGTTTTCCTGATATCTCCGCAAACATTACAGAATTCGACATGACTAATACAGCGATAGAAGAGTTTCCATCATCAATCATGGCGTTTTCTTGTCTTCGTAAACTCAAAACGACGTTTGGAGAAAGCCTCAAGGTGTTCCCAGATGTTCCTGACAGCATCCAAGTGTTGGAATTGCACAATACGGGAATAGAAGAAATTCCTCCATCGATCCAGAATCTCTCACGTCTCACTAAACTAAGCATGCCTCACTGCAAGAAGCTGAAGATCCTTCCAACCAACGTTAACCTGCCTTCTCTCTCTTCCCTTGATCTCAGTTCATGCACACAATTGAAAACGTTTCCAGAGATATCTACAAGCATTGAATATCTCAATCTGAGTGATACTGCTATCGAAGAAGTGCCTTCGTCTATATGGTCTTGGTTCCGTCTTCTTGAACTGAACTTGGAAGATTGCAACAGCCTCCGTATTGTTCTTGACAGCATCGGAGAGTTGGACCTGAGTAATACGGAAACAGATGTTCCACCTCTACCATTGCGTATTAACCTCAAAGGGTGCAAGAATCTTGTGTCATTGCCTCACATTCCGGAATTCGTCACATTCATCGATGCAGCTAACTGTGAGTCGCTGGAGAGAATAGATGGCTTCTTTACCAATCCAGAGAGATGTCTCAACTTTGCTAATTGTTTTAAGCTGAGTCAAGAAGCAAAAACACTCATCGAGATATCGGATTGCAAGTTTGCGCTCTTACCTGGTGAAGAATCGCCTGCAGACTTTGATCGCCGAACAAGAGAGGTTTACATAACAGTCGATTTGGATCAGAGACCACTACCTTTATTCTTCAGATTTAAAGCTTGTCTTTTGCTTCTTGATGTCCTCTATCTAGAGGATGATGAGGTCGATCACTCGACGGGTGCGAAGGTGCTTTCCTGTGACATCTGGTGCGTTCAGAATGGGTTCGATATTGGACATGGATCCTGCAAATACCAACTACCAGCTACACTTGGGTTTACGGAGCATATGTATTACTTCGAGTCGTCCATCTCTCTAGACTTCCGTGAAACAGATGTGAGTCTCGGGGAAGTTGATTTTGAGTTCAAGATCACTGGTCAATACTGGGAAATAAAAGAGGTACAACTCTGGGAAGACCCTGGTGTTCTTGATGTCCATGGAAATATTTACAACGAAGAATCAGCAGACATCAAGATAGTGAAAACTTATATGCAGGAGCAGTGAGAAGAAGAAGAAGAAACAATTTCAGGTAAGCTTTTTGGATAAGATGCAAAATGATGAATTAACTGTACAGTCTCAACATTCCCACCTGATCTTTGGGCTTTTATCGTTTTCTCTTGCAGTAATGAATTTGGATCCTGACAATGTTTGTGATATATAACCAATTCAAGTCTATTCATGTCAAGGGTGAAGAGTACAGAGGCAGCACAATAGAGTTGGCAGCATGTATCGAGCTGAACTATAAAGTCACAGAACTAAAAGATGATGGAAACAGAGTAATTAGCGGGTTTAATCTTCGCTTAATCAGTAGAGTTTGTATGGTTTAGGTTCAGGATACTAAATGTGTGATGTTATAACTTCTAACTTTGAAGGCGAATTGTGGCTAATGCTTGGTTGATTATCAAGCACATCATAATCATACTTCAATATTTAGTGTTATATAGCTATCATCAGGATTAGATTGATGTAACTGACATGTAACAAGCATACAAAAAATGACAAAAGTATATAATATTCAATGACTTTCTTGTCCAATATTCTCTCCTTAGGTATATATATATACATTATTGCGCATGCTTCTTGTCTGATACTCACCACTCAAGAATTTCAGAATCAGAAGAATAACTTGAGTAATAAATGGAAGTGCTTCTTCACCTCCTTGTAGCCCAAGTCATCTTATTGGCTTTAGCATCTTCATTTGTATCTTGTTACGACCCATCTCCTCTTCAAGACTTTTGTGTTGCCGCCAATAATAATACTAATGGAGGTATAATCTCGATTCTATTTTCTTTTCTTGTTCATAGTTCCTTTAATATATTTTAAATCGTATATTAGGCCGAATCAGAAGCAAACTCATCATAGTACTAATTTGCACATTTTTCTTTTTCTTTTTTTTTCGTAGTTTTCGTAAACGGAAAATTTTGCAAAGATCCAAAACTAGTAACGGCCAATGATTTTTTTACTTTCGGCCTGAAGATCCCGGGAAACACGAGCAACCGCCTAGGCTCAATGACCACGACCATTGGTATACCTGGTCTCAACACTCTTGGAGTCACCATCGCCCGCATAGACTTTTCACCGGGCGGTCAAGTGCCTCCACACATACATCCACGTGCCACTGAGATCCTATTAGTCCTCGAGGGCAGGCTCTTAGTCGGTTTTGTGTCGTCGAACATATACAACAACACACTCTTCTCCAAAATTCTTAATCCCGGAGATGTTTTTCTATTTCCTGTTGGTTTGATACAATTTCATGTGAACGTTGGGAAGACAAATGCGGTTGCCATTGCTGCGGCTGGGAGTCAAAACCCCGGTTTGATCACGATAGGCGATGCGATTTTTAGGTCGAACCCTTTCATGGACCCGATGATTTTGGCTAAAGCTTGTGCGTTTTGGACGTGAACATAGTGAGATATCTTCAGACAGTATTTGCTTCGGAAGATGATGATATACTTAGTTTACAAGAATAATGATTAAAGGTAATTGTGAGTAAAAATAATTTGATGTGGTCAATGTATAATATATGTAATAGTGTAGAAAATACAACAAAAAAATTATGTGGGAATTAAATATCTAAAATTAGATATAAGTGTTTGTATATTTTCTAAAATGTAAATAATTAATAAAGTTAATAAATAAACCTAATTGTGAATCGTTTTCGTGTCGCAGTTTACAACATTTTTTCCCAAATGTTAAAAAAAAAAACAATTTTCTCCCAAATGCTTTTTGTGGCAAAAGCATAACTGCATAAGTACGGCTCTGTATACAGCCATTAATGAGAGATATTGGTCTATTTGAACAAGTACTAGTCACATAATTAATAAGTTGATGGAGACGAAAGTAATTAGCGGGTAAATTTGGTAGAGTTCGTGGTTTAATGCTTATGATATGAAGTGTGTGATGTTATTAATATCCAAAAACAGTAAACAAAAAGTTAGTTATTACATACAGTATTTGTTTGTCTGCATGTATAGACATACAGTATACGTATACTCGATCGTTCCAGGCTCAAGCAAATCATAATCATAATTACTCAAATGTTTAGTATTATAGCTTTACCCATTTACATCATCTAAAACTAAATGTATAGTGTTATCTAATATTCATAGTTTCTACCGTTTCTCTCCCGCCAAATGGAGTAAATTGCCTTCTGAGAAACGTATCACAAAATTAAAAAATAAACTTTAGATTAAATAACCCTAGTACTATTTTAATAGCTTTGTCTGATTTTATTCTTATAGTTAATAAATAATCTAAGTTAAAAAAAAAAAAACAATTTCTAAGAAAATGTGCCTGACGAATGACGTGAAAAAAAAATAATGGGCCTGGTTAGATGGGCTTTGAATCTGAATAATTAAATGTGCAAGAGGAAACGATTTGTCTAATCACTTAATTCACAACATTTTTTTCCAAATCTGTTTTGCCCGTGAAATTCGCCGTCGCCGGATGGATCGACGACGGTCGTTTCCGAACTATCAAAACCCTAATCCATATATCTTCCACCACTGTCCTCCTCTAAACCATAATCCTAATTTCTTCTTCCGACCTCCTCCTTTGCAGAATCCTAACACTTACTCCATCGCTCCGTCTCCGCCACCGATTCGCGAGCTCTCCGGTACACTCTCCTCTTTACAGTCCCTATTGTCGGAATGTCAACGCACCTTAGCTTCTCTATCGGAAAATTTAGCTTTAGATCATTCTTCTCTTCTCCAGAGGGACGACAATGGCGGTTTTGTTCGGTGCCCTTTTGATCCTAATCACCTTATGCCACCGGAAGCCCTCTTCCTCCATTCACTTCGCTGCCCAAATCCTCTTGACCTCACTCACCTTCTTGGATCCTTTAGTAGTTACCGGACCACGCTCGAGTTACCGTGTGAACCACAGTTGAATAACGGCGATGGTGACCTATGTTTCTGCTTAGATGACTTGACCGATTTTGGGAGCAATTTCTTCTACAACGATTGTCCAGGTGCTGTGAACTTCTCCGAGCTTGATGGAAAAAAGCGAACTCTAACACTTCCTAGTGTGCTGTCTGTGGAATGCAGCGATTTTGTAGGTTCTGATGAAAAAGAGAAAATGAGTGTGTTGGAGAAACGATTAGGGGTTTTACCGTCTGGTCTATGCGCAATAAAAAATGAGATTGATCAATGGAGGGATTTTCCAACTTCGTATTCCTTTAGCGTTCTTTCTTCGATTCTGGGTTCAGAAGCGATTGAAACGAGTGAGCTGAGCTCATGGATTCTGGTTAATTCCACGAGATACGGTGTTATAATCGATACATACATGAGGGATCATGTGTTCTTGCTCTTTCGGTTGTCCCTGAAAGCGGTTGTCAAGGAAGCTTGTGGATTTATGATAGAGTCTGATGCTAATGCCGTTGGTGAGCAGCAGATTATGAGCTCCAAAACTAGAACATTCGAGTGTGCAGTCTTGGTTCGAGTGTTGTCTTGGTTTGCTTCTCAACTTGCTGTCTTGTATGGAGAAGGAAGTGGGAAGTTTTTTGCTCTGGATATGTTCAAGCAGTGCATAGTAGAATCTGCCTCTCAGATAATGTTGTTTCGGTCAGAAATAACCAGACCTAAATCCTCTGGAGTTCTCGGCGATTTGGATGATGCAAACTCCATCAATAAGGATGTGAAGATGCAGAATTCCTTTAAGAAAAATTCAGGTAGGGAAGTTGGCAAAACTTTGGACAGCGCTCAGGTGATATCTGTGTCCCGTGTTGCAGCAGCTGTTGCAGCTTTGTATGAAAGATCCGTGCTTGAAGGGAAAATGAGGGCAATACGATATCCCCAACCACTAACAAGATATCAAAGGTAGTTTTGAAATCTTTCAAGGGCTATTCTGTTTTTCCAATGTTTATCGTACATTTTCTATTCTATAGTATCTAAGCATCATATCATCTTTGGATCTGAGTTTGATTCCTCATGATTTCTCCATCAATCTGTAGAGTGGCCGAGCTTGGTGTTATGACAGTTAAAGCTGATGAGGAACGGAAAAGACGTCCTAGCTACCGACCTATTATCGACCATGATGGTCTTCCGAGACAACGCTCATCAAATCAGGTTAATACTAAACTAACTGTTGTATAACATAGAGGAAGCAAATAATCTTGATAGGCAACTTTTATTGAAGGAACCGAAATATATATATTTATTTGTGTATAACGTGTAGGATATTAATAAAATGAAGACAAGAGAAGAGCTTTTAGCTGAAGAGAGAGATTACAAGCGTCGGAGAATGTCATACCGTGGTAAGAAGGTGAAACGAACGCCTCGACAGGTAAGAAGCCGCTTCCTTTGATAAACACAAGTGAATTTTTTTTTTTGCTGCAAAATGGTCAATGTATATTTGGACATACTCATTGACGTTGCTAATATCATATACTTCCATTTCTGGCCATAAGACGTTCAATTAGCAATAAACTTACATTATTCTCTTTGAATGAGTTTCCTCGTTTTTTTGTCTTGTAGGTGTTGCGGGATATGATAGAAGAATTTACAGAAGAAATTAAGCTAGCAGGAGGTATCGGATGTTTTGAGAAGGGAATGCCATTACACTCCCCGTCTTCTATAAGCAACGATCAGAAAGAAAGTGACTTTGGATACAATACTGCATCATTAACATTAACAGACGCATCACCAAGATTCCATAAGCAATGGAAAGGAGAGAACCGTGCAGATATAGAATATCCAATGGATACTAGAACCCATACAGACAAAGAAAAGCGGTATGAGGAGTATGATTCTGGTAGCTCACAGAGACGGAAGAGTCACAGATCTTATAAGCAGCACAGTGATCACGAGGAGTATGATTCAAGTAGCTCACAGAGACAGCAGAGTCGCAGATCTTATAAGCACAGTGATCGAAGAAATGATGAATCCACTAGGAACAAACGACATAGCCTCGAAGCGAAATCTTATCATCAAAGCCACAGATCATCTCATGAGAAGAATTATTCAGATAATAAGACGAAAAAGGATGATCCTTATGACCGCCGCAGTCGGAAATCTAGGAATCAAAACTCGTTTGAAGAAAGATACAATCCAGAAGAAAGATACAATCCAAAAGAAAGGGAGTGAACTTGAAAGAAGGTAAGTTGTTTTGAAACCATCTCTCTATCTCCTTATCGCCGTGTGGGCTGTCTGACTTTGAGACAGGTCCGGAGCATTTATCCAGAGCATTGGCAATTATTTGTGAATCAGTATCCTCTTTTGTATCCTTAACCTTGATCTTATTTTCTTTGATGCATCTATTTGTTAATCAAATCCTTATCTTTGCGTTATCTCAAAGTCTCTTAGGCTTATAGATTCACTGAAGTTACCAATCCTCTCTATATATGTTCAGTTTTAGTTTGTGTTCTCCTCTGCTTTGACATATTGAAGTTATTTTCAAGCCATGGCCCATGTGATTGCTAAGAAGAAATAGGAACTTCACAAGGTTTGTAATGGTGAGAGACAACAATTCACCGGTTTATGCGGTTTAACGGGACTGGTTTAGCTTTTTATTCTTTTTTTTCCTGTTCTAGTCTGATCACCGTGTTCCGCCCTGTACACGGTGATCGCCCATGGTATTACTATCACTTAAGCCAATGAAAACAATGTAATCGGTGAATTATATGTCTCGTGTTTCTCTATTATAAGCTCAACAAACAAAAATCGTCTGTAACATCTATGTGAGGTATGACGTGGCAGTAAAGAAACGGAACACTGAACGGCTACATCAATTGGCCAGTGGAGTTCTTCGAATGATGAAGAAAAAGTACAGAAGTGTAGAATCTTTCTTCTACATTGTTTTGCTACTTCTTTCTGACTCGGATTCATATTCCGGCCAATTGTGTAACTAACGACACTGTTTATAAGCAAAAATGTAAGATTCTTTTTTCTTTTCCTGTTTGATACTAAATTATCTCTTCCTCCCTCATGATCCCTACATTTTAACTATGACCATTTTGGAGGAATGTGCTAAACCCATTTGGCAATTAGACTAATTTCTTCCCACGGATTTAGACTTTTTGATGATGTATCAGAAGAAATGTAACTAAAGTAGACCTAAACAAACAAAAAAATCAATTGCAACTGAGCTGCCTTAAAACTTCATTCATATTCGCGTAAATCAAGCAACAAACGAGAGTAGTATCAAAACTATACAATTCCTATGAACAGAGTACGGTGACAATCTCCATTGAAGGAGAAAGCAAATGACTAAAAGTTTTGTGTTTCAACGAACTTCCATCTATGAGCAGTAATGGGGGAGAAACTCAACAAGATTACAAGATCCCGATTTTTACCTAAACTCTTAGAAACCACTCCCTTTTTACTCTAAGAGATGTATGGAATCACCTGCAAAATCAAGGGCAAAGAAGAGGATATGTTGGCACCTGAAAGACCAGAGACTGATGTTGTCGTCGTCTCTCAATGCAAGCTTCAAGACAGGCAGCTTGTTTTAACACATTGCCATTTGCTTGATCGTCTAACTTCTTTTGCTGGGCAGCTCTTAGGAAGGTGAAGGATTCAAATTCCTTGATACTTGTCTACATCAAACCTAGGAGCTGATCTGAAGTAGCTATTCCAGCCAAAATGAAAAACAAAAATGAGAAAGAAGCAAAATTTGCATAAAAGTAAACTGCAGAAGAAGTGAAGAAGAAGTGAAGAAGATTCGTGGTACAAAATTTACAGGAATGAGTTTTACCGATTAGTGTCTGAGCTTGGTTTCTCAATGAATAATGAGTTTAGCTATGGTGAACCTCCGCGTATTCAAGGAACAAAATTAACTTGATAGTTATTATATAATCCTTTAGAAAACGCAATCAGATGAATTTGAATAACAAGCAATTTCCAGAATCTAAAGATTTGATGAAGTCAAAACGAAATACCCATTTCCATAATCTGATGTCAAAATGCCCATCACATCATCAACATCTCGAGCTGAATTCGATCTTTGAGCCAGTTTCAATCCATCTTTCACGACACCAAACACCAACAAAATTGAAAGCTTTCGAGATTACCTTATCCTTATTTGTAGGGGTGGAGGAAGAAGGTGACGAAGCGAGCCGGAGTAATTTAGTGACGAAGCGAGATGGAGCAGTTCAGTTACTCTGCCAATCGCCCATTTCAGAATAGCCGGTGTTCTCTTCTCCGGCGAATCAGAGAAGCTTCTCGGCCGATGACTAATTTCTCTGCAAAACGAAACGACAACCTATAACAAGCAAAACGCATAGAATATCAAATGATGTTATAATGTTTATGTATCACTGGAGTTAATTTGACGGGCGGTGACATAATAACAAAGGATGTTAATAATGTTTTGTATCACAGACGTTAATTTGACGGCCTGTGACATATAGGAGACATGCTCCTAAATGCTCAAATTTGCTCAAAATAATGACAAAAACGACAACTGAATAACAAGTAAAACGCAGCCTACTCGCTCACTTTTAAATTTTGGCCAAAAATGAGCAAAATCGATGGACTATATAACCTACGAATTAGGCCTAACGCGCGCAACGCGCACCATGTGCGAGTGGATATGGAATATGTCTTTTTTCCATATGCGCGTGGCGTCACGCTCTCTCAGTTTTGACTGGGATTTTTTTTTCCCTATGTTAAAGCCAGTCGATAAAGCCAATAAAAACAACGAGTATTTTATATAGTAAACGGCATCAATATTGCATGTTATGCCGGTTTTAGCCAACTAAAACGACGAGTATTTTAAGTTTCGGCAAAATAAAAAGTATAGTATTTCAAGATGAGATTTTTCAGATACTTGAGAACACATTTCTTCAAAACCACATTCCACTGACTTGTTCGTTGATCCACGAGAAACGCACCCACACCCATCCTCCCTTCGTTGTTGATGCTATCATCTCCAAGGATTTTCATCTCGTCACTCGTCAAGAAATCGTGTCGCTTTAGGATCTTAAAAGGGATTAAGAGACGGTTTTGGCTTGGATCGACATCGTTCTCGTCCAGAGTCTTCTCTATGAGTAGCACACGAATCATCGACTAACTTCATCTCAGTCTTCAACCGGAGAAGCCACTTGGCGCGTGGTCGTGTATATGTAAACAGTTCTTTTTCTTCTGTGGACTTTAGAGAAATCAGGAGGCTCCTCTTTGCTTCACTTTGAATCTTTAAATTCTTCCAAGAAGCGTTGATAAATCTCAGTGCGTCAGGATGATTTTCCCGCTACAACAACGGTCAAACTCAAACGGAAACTCGAGTTGAGGAGTGAGAGTTTAAAATAGATACCCTGCGACAACAATCAGGCTTCTCCTCCACCAAGAATGTATCCACATATTATTTCTTCTCTGTTTCCTTTTTACTAAAGCAGTTTTGTGATGCTCTGTTTTTCACTTTCAGTACTCTGTTTATCTGCTTCTCCTCGAAGACGTTATAAAAACAAAAACTGGTAAAAATAACATTTTGAAAAATTGATGTGTTATGATGTTATATCAAATTATCTCTCCCTCCCTCATGATTCTAAAATCCGACCAGAACATTCAACCCACCATCTCCATCTCACTATCTCAGTTACTTGTTATGTAAATCAATAATATACTCGTTATCCCGATCAAACTGAATGTAAATCATATTTCCACACTTGTAAAATTTCGATTATAAATAATAACCATAATTTATTTGTATTCACTTCTTAGAGATATATGGAAATACAACCCATGAGAATTAGGTCACGTGTGACAAAAGAAAAAACTATGTAGTTCAAGAAGAAACCAAAGACATCACTCTTTTGAAACTCCGGTGACGAAGACGATGAGCAGAGCCATTACTCATCTCAGAAGAACCGTCAATGGCTAATCCGCGACCGCTAAAACACAAATACCTGTTCATAAAAGATCTCTGTTTCTTCATAGCAGGCGTTTTTCTCTCCAGTTCGGAAGAAACCGTCTGAAACGGCGATGAACAAGCTGACGACAGAGCTCCAGAGTAATCGGAAACCACCGGAGGCGAAAACACAAACCTCGGAGATTCCTGAACCACGACTCCTTTCATTAACCCTTCCGTGAATTTCAGTCTCACCGATAAACTCGGGAGATCGCCGCTCTCTGTTCTCAGCGGAAACGCTCTTCCTCTGTTACAAGACGGCGAATACATCTCTCTGAGAGGCACACGACGGTTGCTGTTATCTCCGGAGAAACGGCGATTTTCCTCTGTTTCTTCTCTCTTCGCCCACCGTAAAAGAAGCTTAAGACGCGCTCCTGTACCACCGCGTTTGCGTTTCGAATGCGTCGAGACTTCGGTCGAGCATTCACTGATTCCGTCAAAACTCTCTCTTTCTGGACTTATCTCAGCGTTCGCGGCGGTATGATCTGTTCTCGCCGCCGTGAACAGAAATATCTCAGAATCAGATATCTCAAACGAAGTTCCTGGACTGCCGCAGAATCCGTAACGCTCTTCTCGAAACCGTAAAACCTTTTCACCGCCGGCGTTGGATCTCCCACCGGCGGATTTAAGCCGTTTGATCAATAAATCAGAAACCGGCGTTTTCGGCGTTTGTCCTTCAAGCAAATCAACGGCAGTCATGCCATCTGAATCAACAACGTTGAGATCAACGCCAGGGATTATTAATAGAATCTCAACGACGTCAGGTCTAACGGTGTTAAGAATATCCATCACGGCTAAGTGAACCACAGTTCTTCCGTTACCGTTTCTAACGTTGACAATCTCAGATAAGTCAACTGACCAGCTACCTCCTCCTCCTCCTGAGATTAACTTCTTCAGAAGCTCCATCTGCCGGTCTAACCGCTTAAACCCGGAAGCTGCAAAACCAGACACGACCATGTGAAGAAACGTGTCTCCTTCGTTGTTCACAACGGAGATCAACGGTGGAGATGCGTCTATAAGAGCCTCCACTACAGCTAAATGACCCTTGTAAGCAGCGATATGTAAAGCCGTGTTTCCTTGGCCGTCTTTAACCTCCACGATTGAATCATTATACTTCGATACAAGATATCTCACCACCTATATTTTTTCCAAAAAATCAATATATATACATACGTAGATAATAATTTGATTTGTGTTCTTAGTTCTTCTTACTTTGATTTGACCTCTGCTAGAGGCAGAGTGTAACAGAGTCGAACCGTAAGCATCCTTGAGTCCTGAAACGGCGTCGTATTTTCCTGTGAGTAAAAATTCCTCGAGGATTGCCACGTGTCCGCCTCTTGCAGCACTGTGGACCCCTCTTTTAACCATCTCCTGCTTTACTATTAACTGTTTCTCGGTTAGTTTCTCCCCGTCGGTTTCTTCGACGCCGGCAATATCAGCCGGCAGCAAAGCGAAATCAAGAAGAAGACGAAAAACGTCGTCGTTTCTACCTCTCGCCGCCGCGTAGAGAATATCGGTTACGCCGTATTCTCCTTCTCCGAACACGAGAAGCGGATCTCTCTCAAGAAGCTTCTTCACGAATTCCAAATCTCCGGCGGAAGCAGCGGTGTATAACAGCCAGCCTCCGTATCCTGCTCTGACGAGGGAATTGTCTCCGTTTCCGATTTCGCACTCTTCCAACAGTCTCCTCGCGACGCGGGAGCGGTTTAACGCCACGTGGCAGTTATCTCCGTCTCCGTCGTCCCAGACTGTTTCGAGGCGGCGGATACGGCGGAGGGAAGTGAGTTTGACGAGGAGGTTTGTGTCTTGATGAAGCAGCTCGATGACGACGTCGTATAGTCCATTCGCGGCGGCGCAATCGATTGGTGAAGCGTACCACCACTGGTCTCCGGTGCTTTCCCACCGGAGAGGAAATATCGGCGGTGGCATTTTCCTTATCCGGTTTAGTTAAGTAACCGGATCTTAATCGGGTTTTTTTTTTTGTAAACTAAAATCAAAGAATCTCAATGAAAACAGAGCATTTGTGGGGGAAATCTCAATGAAAGCAGAGGAAGTAGTCTAAGAAAATGAATCTGAATGGTTTGGAATTAATGGAGAGTAGACTTATTTTCGGACGAACACAAAGAGATGGAGCAGAAGACAACAAAAAGGAGAAGCCTTGAAGATTGTGTTGTTGTGGTGAAGACGGAAACTTTTGTGTGTTTTCACCAGAAAATATTATAAAGTTTTTTTTGGGCGCATCGAAAATATATTTGATTCCATTCCCGTGAGTGGACCATATCCGACGTGATTTATCTTTTGTTTTTTTTTTCTTTTAATATGTATATCACTATATCAGTATATGTTCTTGAAAAGGTTTGTATATTCTAGTCTTCTGAAAAAGGCTGTTGAATTTCCACAAAAAGAATTATGTGAAGGAATTTTAAACTGCAGCAAGAATTCTCGTTTTGCTTTTTTGGGGAGCAGTACATATTAGAATCGTGCTTTGTTCGTCAGTGTCTGGAAAAGAAAAGGTATATTAATCTGAAATTTTATTTATTTTTACCGAAATGACTAACAAAGTACTAATTCGGATAGAAACTTTAAAGGGAGGAAGCAATAATTGACTACAAAAATAGAATGATGTATCATCTAATTAGACGCGTCGCTCGTTTGGTTGAAACCAGACGTACAGATCTTAATTTTAGTTGGTTTGCATTTTGTGCATAATAAATCGACATGTAAATTGGTTAAACAATCTGATTTTAAACAAAAGAAGATCAAAGAAACAAAAAAAAAATACTACCCACTTGTGGCAGCTAACATTTGAGGGCCCTTAACAACGCAATAATATCTAATCAATAATTCAATAAATGTGCACAATGATTCGTAGTTAAAGCTTAACCATCATTATGAGATTGAAGAAGACTAGTCAATTTTATTTTAATAACAAAAAAATCCCAAAAGGTATATATATTTTTTGGTTTTGGATATTATGGATCTACCTATCTGTCGGTGAGTGTGGACGCATCCAAATGCACATGTATATGACCCTAAACTCAATGCTTATTTTTCTTGGATCCCACTTATGTAACCTCCCATAAATTATTCTGATGGCAAACCTCTGGATCCTGAGACGTCTCAATTAAGAGAGACACTTACAAAGACTTGAGTCAAAGCAGACAACAAACACAACTTGCCTAGCGTCTTATCATCAATATTGTGTCAGAATCAATCAACTCCAGAGTTACAAATCTGAACAACTCTTCCTGAATTTGAAACTGGAGTTTCTTATCCATGACCAAAGTACTTAAAATCTACACTACGATGTGGTTGAATGAAGAACACAATGAAAATTTAATGCGCGATCTGGTCTTGTCTTCTTTCTAAAGCATGAAGTGACCGCTTCTCATCACAATCTGCAATCTAATTTGTGACGGTTTAAGCATCGTAAAAACTAATAACCTCACTTTACAGGGGCAGTAAGTTTGACAGTCTTCATGATGTGTTCGATTCTCTCCGCGGATTCATGCATATTCTTCTTCTTGACTTCTTCCAAGAGCAACAAACAAGTCCGGTGCCTCGGTGTGATATCTTGGCTAATCATCTCTTCGAAAAGGCAATACGCCCACTCACATATATTAGCTCTGCAAAACCTCTGTATCAGAAAAGTATAAGTTGATTCATCGAGGCTGAGATGATGTTTGGTCACCATCTCTTTCAGAAATCTACCAACCTCAACAACATCCCCTCTCTTGAAACAAGACCTCAGCAATGGGTGATACGTATGAACATCGGGATCACAAAGCTTCGAACTTTCCATTTCCTTGACAAGCTCAACCGCCTTCTCTTCCTCATCGTGATGACAATACATAGCAATCATGGAGTTATAGGTAGATGTATTTATGGAAACACCAAGCTCAGGCATCTCAACTCTAAAAACCCTCTCAGCTTCTTCTAACCGACCAGCTCGAGCAAGCGTGTGAATCAAACAGTTGTAGAAAAGAGTATCGGGTTCACAACCAGATCTTTTCATTCTCGTAGCAACCCGTAAAGACTCCTCAAACTCTTTCTGAGCATTAAGAGAAGACATAATCGTCGTGTAAGTAATAGAATTCGGAGGAGACTCATTAGCTTCCATTTCACTTAGAATCTCATAGACCTTGATGAAGTCGGATTGCTGGCAATAACACCTTATAATCGTCGTATAGCTGATAACACAAGGACGAAATCCGTGGCCTTTCATCTCTTGGATCGTCCAAAGAGCTTCCTCGACTCTATTGGCCTTACACCAACCGTGAATGAAGATATTAAACGTATGAGCATTTGGAGTAATGTGTGACTTAAGCTCAAGCAAAACTTCCCGAGCCTGCTCGACCCTTTTCTCCTTGCAAAGAGTATCGAGCAGCAAATTCATCGATTCAGTGTTCTTCTCCAAGCCAAATTCACCCAATTTATCGAATATGTTGACAGCTTCTTCCCATTCCCCAGCACCAGCAAATCTCCTCATGATCTTAGCAATCGTGTTCAAGGTTACAAGTTTATCTCTTTTCATTCTCTCCACAAACTCCTTCATTCGATCCCATTTCTTAGCCTTGCCAAGAATATCCACCGCCATATCATAAGAATCGCTCGAATGTTTGTGCCCTTTACAAGACTCGGCCCATTTCAAAACACAGAGCGCAGATTTCCAGTCATCTCTAAACCTATGGAGCAGCTTATGAACCAAACCATCAGAGAGATTTACACTGTTACAGCTTTCATCGTTTGATAGACGATGAAATACTTCATCTTCGCTGACTCTATCACCGGCTTTACCTACAATAACATTCCATATATCCTCCGACTGTGAAGATTCATCAAGTGTTTCAGGTAATCGTTCCGAAGATGTAGAGAGATTCTCGATGAGCGCAGAGGAAAGATCGAAAGAAGCCGAAGGTTTGAGGCGTAACAGTTTGTTTCCAATGCGACTTTTAACAAGCCAAGACATCAGGAATCTACCAGATTAAGAAGCGTTGTCCCTCGATTTCGGACAATCACAGTGAGAACAAGTAAGTGTAGGAAAAACCAAATTCGTACCTGAAACCTGAGCAAAGGGAAATCGTGAAAATGGACGACGGCCGTTTAGCCGGAGAGATTTGACAAGGAGTAGTAATAATCGCTGAGAAGGGCCGTAAGTGGACTCATGCCATGGCCCATTTAAAAGCCCGAATTTAATTACTTGATAAAAAAATGGCAAAACCATCCTCCAATTCATCCGGTTTGTATTGGTTTAGCTATAATTATAAAAGACGCCGGTGGATAATTCTCCATTCTCCCCCATCCGTCACCGTTTCACACTGGCCTGTCACGTGACAAGCTGACACTAAGCTATAAAGTTTTGATCGATGGGTTCGGGGAACTTAATAAGCTTAGTTTAGCTCCTTCTACGGTGCCTCAGACTTGCACAACTTTGGTAGACGGGTTGATTCGATCATGTAATATTAGAGGTTCCTTGAGGATGCTACAACTGATGAGTGTCTATCCATAGACAACCATCATCAATGGCCTTTTGTCATTTTGGAAGTGTCGAGGAAGCAGAGAAGCTTCTCTCTACTATTTCAATTGCCTACTCCCACTCTGCTCTCAGCCCTTTGGAAAATCAATTGTTCAAGGATTGTGGTTAAATATAGATGTAAATATACACCTTGAGTACATGAGCACATCAAAAACCCAATGTGTACTAGGATTCTCCAGGTGATAGAAGAATGCGCAGTAACACTTCTAGAAAAATAAGCCCAAGTTAGTTCAAATAGTTATCTCATGCCTCTATGAATCCTTATTCAACATCGACAAAGTTTATAATTCATCTAATTATCTAGTAATAGTAAAATCCGTATTTTACAAATTGGTTGAGGGTTCAGCTTTGATTTATTTAGGCCATATATATAAGAAATAAAAGTGGTCATAAACGGAATAAAAGTAAGGAGGATAAAAATCTGATAAACCATACGTGGATCCAATATATCAAAAGCCAAACATAAAGGGCTATCGGTTAAACAACCGGTCTACAAACTCACATCAACTCAAGTGAATGAGATTCGCCAAAACCAAAAGAGTTTTAAATCTCAAAGAAAATTTATTCAAAAAACGACAAACTCAGAACATTAAAAGGGACGAGAAATAAGAATTCCTCCCTCCCCATCAGTCTCGAGATTTTCTTCTCAGCTTTAGGCCTTGGACATGTGAACAATCAAGTCGACCACACGGGTACTGTAACCCCATTCGTTGTCATACCACGACACCAGTTTCACGAAGTTCTCGCTCAACGCAATTCCAGCCTTGGCGTCAAAAATGCTCGACCTGGAACACATCAAAATTGTTTTAAATTACGATAGCAGACTCGGAAGATTGAATATGTAAGAACTTCTAACGCATGACTGGATATTATTTCATTACCTGCTGTCACCAACGAAGTCAGTTGAGACAACATCATCCTCGGTGTAACCAAGGATTCCCTTTAGCTTGCCTTCAGATTCCTCCCTGTGTACAATCCAACCAGTTAGTTTGTATCTTACAAAGTTATGATAAACACTTCTGAAGCCAGGAACTGGAACCGGGAAAGCTTACTTGATAGCCTTCTTGATTTCATCGTAGGTTGCAGCTTTCTCGAGCCTAACCGTGAGGTCAACAACTGAAACATCAACGGTGGGAACACGGAAGGACATTCCGGTCAACTTTCCGTTGAGTTGTGGAAGCACCTTTCCGACGGCCTTGGCAGCTCCGGTGCTGCTGGGAATGATGTTGAATGAAGCAGCTCTTCCACCTCTCCAGTCCTTCATCGATGGTCCATCAACAGTCTTCTGTGTAGCTGAAGTAATAAAGCAAAACCCCATTAGGTCCCTGTCTCCTCTTATAGGCAAACAATTTTGTCACAAAAGTATGAAAGGTATGAGAAACTTACCAGTGATAGAGTGGACGGTAGTCATAAGACCCTCAACAATTCCAAACCTGTCGTTGATAACCTACACAAAGAAAAACAAACACAATAGGAGGAAACAGTGTGAGGAATAATATTCACTTCGAAATTTCAAATACCCACAAATTTGATTTGTAAAATGCAATGAGATAATCTACCTTGGCAAGGGGAGCAAGGCAGTTAGTGGTGCAACTGGCGTTGGAGACAATGTCTAGGTCGGACTTGTATTCGTGCTCGTTAACACCAACAACAAACATGGGAGCGTCCTTGCTTGGGGCAGAGATGACAACCTTCTTGGCACCACCCTGATCAACAACAAATCACCAAATCATTATTCAGTTTAAACATTTTATCACATGAGCTGAAGTACAGGAATAAGTACGTGTCTATCTAGATCCACTAATTACTGAAACTCTTCCAAGACCAAGATGAATCATAGGATTTAACAAGCTATAGAATATAAAATCCAAAGCCAATAAAACAAACCTTCAAGTGAGCAGCAGCTTTGTCCTTGTCAGTGAAAACACCGGTAGACTCAACAACGAAGTCAGCTCCAGCCTCACCCCATGGGATATCCTCAGGGTTCCTTCAAAAATACAAATCAATAGTGAGACTGAAATTCTCACAGCAAATATATTCATAGTGAGAAAAACAAAATCGACAGGTAGATGTATATACTTGATGCCGAAGACAGTGACTGGCTTCTCACCGAAGAGAAGGGTCTTCTCATCCTTGACCTTGAGTTCATGGTGTTTCCATTGACCGTGAACACTGTCGTACTTGAACATGTAGGTCTGCAGCAATCAAAAATTACGTCACTCCAAGCTCTAAGAACTCAATTGATACCAGGCTAATCGATTACACTACAGAAGCACCATATCAATCATCAGTTCCAATATAGAGATCTGATCAGCTAATCAAAACTCAACAAAATCTTTCTAAACCTGCTTCGGAAACTGAGTACTTAATAAACAATCATCTAGACACCGAAAACACACATGCATAATAGTGATGATAGTGATACGATCCATTTTCCAATTCCGACGAGGTCAAATCGATCAACGCCACTAATTGAATCCCAATCAACAGATCGAAACAATACCAAACAATCACTTATCGAAAACAGTCGAAGGAAGGAAACAAACCATGTACTCAGTGGTGATGAACGGATCGTTGACGGCGACGAGCTCAACATCGTCCCTCTGAAGAACGACTCTAGCGACCAAACGACCGATTCTTCCGAAACCTAGCGATTAGAGAAACCAAAAGTCAGATTCCATAGATCTAAATAGATGAAAGCGAACGAATCCAATTAAAAATAATAATAATAATCAGACACTCACCATTGATACCGATCTTAATCTTAGCGCCAGCTACCACAAACAAAAGAAAAAACAAAGAGATATCAGAAAACGATCAGATCAGAAAACACAACATCGTAAGGAACAGCGAGAGGAGAATGAGCTAATATAAACCAACAGAAAGCTAAGAGACTCACTCATTTTTCAATCAAATACGCGAGAGAGAGAGAAATTGAAGATGAGATTAACAGAGAGAAGGTATTTTACACAGTGAAAAATGATGAGTGAGTGGATCCGTGAAGAGGGGTATTTAAAAGAGAGAAGAACGTGAAGAAGGGGTAGGAAAGATCTAGTGGTCGAGAGTTTTTCTTGGGAAAAAAGTCAGATCTGATTCAATACTATTTTCTTGAATCAAAAATGACCGAATTGCCCAAATTACAAAAAAAAAAAGCCATCTAATTTTGCCAAATGTCGTCACCCCTGACTCGTGATTATGAAATAATTGAAAGGAGTCATCGCGTCTGCATCTCACGCGCTGAACTAGAAGATTCTAAACACCGTAGGATATGCCGGGTCGAGTCGGGTCGGCATCAAAACGCAGCACATTTGTAATGCTGTTCTACGCCGACCAGTGTTTAGCTGCCACGAGTTCTCGGAAGGCCCATTATAGTAGACGGTTTCAATTTCTAGAGGTTAACGTCCATTTAATACATAATTCTATTTTCTTCTTCCTTTCTTTTTTTGTTTTGTTAACGGTTCTATTTATTTTTTCTTTTTCCCTTTTCTAACATCACAAGATATTTTATGATTTTTATCATTTTGGGTATACATTTTTCTCATCTAACTTCTTCTAAATGAATATTTTAAAAGCGGTAGAATACTTTTTTTTTTCTTTTATCAACAAACGGTTGAACAAAAGTTGACCATTCTGGTGTGTAAAATGTTCAAATAGATATATTCAAAAACCTGTAGTTCTGTAATGTAAGAAGAAACTATAAATTAGTTGGAGTAAAATATTACATGTGACGTTCATTTCAAATATTTACAACTGAACTTTGACTATGTGCTGTTCTTGTAACTTGGGAATCTTCTTCCGAGAAGCTTACAGTGCAGCTTACTTATGAATAATGGATCTATGTTGTGCTTAAAGAAAGCTTTGCAGTTTGGTGAATATCTGTCGACGAATATGAACGAGATGCAAGGCTAGTACAAGAGCGTGAGCTACTCCCGCGATGATGAACAAACCGCGCAGCTCACGGAAGCTGAAGCGATTAGATGCGTCATCATCGTTGTTGAGAGATGCAACATCTTCAGCGTTGGAATGTACATTCAGTGAGTCCAGTTTCTGAAACCATCTTTTCTCCATGTCCTTTAGAATCCCTAACGACCTTAGCTTTGCGATTTCTCGTGAAACATTAGTAGCCAAACCTGAACCTCTCTGGAACATCTGAAAATTCAAACGTACGTAGATCGGTAAAGACAAATACAAATCTATATGGAAGAAATGAGGATTTTTTAGGAGAAGCACATACAAAGCCAAAGCCATTGGTATTAGTCTCTCGATCTGTCATTACGAAAACATCCGGATAATATCCAAGTAGGAGATTGAGATACGGTATTTCATTGATGACATGACTAAGAGTTCCATCCCTCAAACCTTGAGCATAGGCTTCAACTGCATTAATGGATCCGAGCTTCATGCTCTTTATCGTCGTAGAGGCGAAAACCGCGTGACGGTTTAATTGTATGCTAGAAATGGTCTTGGTTGATGTCAAATTTGCGCTGTAACTTGAAGTCAATATCAACACCACAAATACCCAAACAATGACTAAAAATCTTGATGACATTTTTTGCAACTTCTCTCCTGCCAAGAATATACGAGTATCAGAGAAGACCATTGTATGGGACTAATTGGAGTCTAACATACACTTACTGTGAGCAAACACAATGGTGGAGAATCCAAACCAGAGCATCATACTAAGTTGTTGTCCCCAAGAGCCCTGGAACTCCGGATTAACGGATCGTTCGACCAGCCAAACAACAATTCCGGTCAAGATGAAGAAAGCTCCACTTGCTAGCCACAAGGATTTCTCAAAAGGGTCAAAGAAAGTCCACATGCCTTGGCTTTTTTTCTTTACCGTCAGTATTCCGATACCAATGTCTGTGAAAGGCAAAGTAAAATCAACATACGAAGATCTGTTTGAAGTGATGGTGATATCACCAACAGCTGCATCGTATTTGTCGCTCTGTCAAAAAATGGAAAATAGCAAAACAAACACAAACACATCATTACAACATACATACATATATCAAAAAAAAAATATATAGCATTTGCAAAACACACCTGAGTAGAGAGTAGATAAGCAAGATTCTCATAGTTTCCATAATAAGGTATGAATTCCAGCTGGTAGTTAAAAGGAGCAATGCAAGTCTTGAAAACTTCTATGCAGAATCCAGTGACAGTGTTAACTCCTGTTTCAGGATCAAGACGCACCGACATTAGATTTGGGACCTTGTTCCCTGCGGGAACTAAGACCCTAAGCAACTTCTTCTTTTCACCATCCTCTGCCAAAAAACGGTGTCTTGGGAATCCATCAGACCCGCCAGGGCAGATGATGGTCTCCAGTTCATTGGTTGAAGAAGCCATTATGTTTCTCTTACCATCGCAACTCCATAATCCTATTCTTCTCTCCCCCGTTCCAACCATATTCACAATCTCAAATGTCCCTGAGAGAAACTCGTTGCCAACAATTTTGATGTCACCATGGCTCAAACCGATAAACCTACTCTGCCTAATTGTATCAAGAAGATCTGATACATTCGCAGATGTTCTTATACTCATCTTCTCTATTGCAGTTGCTAGAATACAAGCAACATCGTGCGCCCGTGCACTAGAATGCTTTGTTTCCACCAAGGCCATTTCATGATCATCAACAATTAGTTTCCGCAATCTCGAAGTGAAATCCTCAAGCTCTGCTGATACTGGAATATAGTATCTGAGACCAATCACCCCTTGCATCGTCCTATCTGGAAAATGATCCGAGTAACGAAAATGATTCATGGTTCTTGCCGTGAGAATCCAAGAATAGCCTTGTTCCATCATACCTAACTTGACAGCCAATCGAAAGAGACGAGAAACAAGAATCTCAGACATATGAACCACGACAACAGCTGCGTCTGCGGTTTTAAGCTTCCTTAGCTGATTATTCATCATATGATTTTCTCCTCTTGATGATGATTCCGAAAAAGAAACAATACGATCAATGTGGAGTCCTTCGTCTTGGAAATTCTCCACCAGTGATTGCAAACTATCTCTCCAATCATCAACATCCTCATATATAACTAGAACCGATGTCCGATTAGAATCATGAATGAGACTCGTTATCGCCTTAGCCTCTGACACCGAATCGTGCGTCAATTGAATAAAGTGATCGTATTTGTTCAAAGACAACGAATGTGGTACGAGAACTGATATTACCGGAACTTTAGTTTTTTCGCTAACCGCCGCCAAAAGCTTTGCTTCCTGTAATGATTGTGCACCAACAACAATGGCTTCCACTTTCGCATGTTTGAGAAGATTTGTCGCTGTTTAATTTATTCAGGAATTAAATAACGAATAAAAATTGTTACTTTTCGAGAAGTTTTGACGGGAAAAAAAAAAAAAAGTGAAACTCACCGGCGGCAAGAGCAAGGATAGGATCGCCTTGGGTGTCTCTGGCTAAAACAGAGACTCTGGTTCGATATCCGTTGTTGATTCGATAGAAATCTGAAAGCGCCAAGGAAAAAGAAGCTTCGAGAATCTTTCCTTCTATAGAACCCAAATCCACCACCAATCCAACTGTTACCTCTTCGAAAACGCAGTCGTTTCGATCAGCTGCTCTGGATACGATCTTTGTCGAGAAGAGAAGAATAAAAATGAGGAGCGAAATCAGATTCTCCATTGATTTTGTATCGCTATGTGTGTACCGTTCGCATTGATTATTCGTATGTATTGAAGTTTTTCTTTTTTTTAAGCGTTTGTCGTAATCATTTCAAATCAAATTTATTATTTTTATTGAAGGATATAACAGAGTCAAAGTCAATGCGTACTGTTCATGGACATCGTCGACATAAACTTCGAAATTTTATAAGGAGCAAAATTCTTCGAGACAAGTTTTTCTTGGAGACAAGTTGACTAGCAAAAATACGATTAATTTAGTGTATAAGTTGATTCATGAGGTTTAGCTCCTCAGGTTTGGCTCTGATTTAGGTTTCTTAGGGGAATCAGCGTTAGTGGTCTATTGATATAGACACTCACCGTTGATACCGATCTTAATCTTAGCGCCAGCTACAACAAAAAGAAAAACAAAGGAGAAATAAAAAAACAATGAGATCAGAAAACACAACATCGTAAGTAGCAGCGCCGAGAGGAGAATGAGCTAATATAAACCAACAAAAGCAAGAGACTCACTCATTACTTAAGGCCGGGATGACGGCGGATTATATCCTTGATGGTCCTTTTATCGAATAGTTCCAGCACAGTCTCATTTGCTCCGGCCTGCAGGAGCTAATGCGATTCCCACGATGTAGACCGAGCGGTTTTCTTGCACGGATGGCCCGAATTGTCTTGGGGTTCTTCGTCATGATGATGCTTAGGGTCATCTCAAGTCGTGCTCGTTACACAGTCGTCTTCACTTATCTTGATTCACATTACGTTAACTGTCTGTTTACTGAGTGGATGATTTTAATTAGTAGCATTTTTGTGATGATGATGCTAGGAATCATAATTTATATATTCATATTCATACTATGCGTCTGGTTATAAGCTGAACTTCCACAGATTTCAAAAATAAATAAATATATGTCTATTGTTTGCAGAAAACATAAGCAAGCCATAGTTAAGCAATAGTTGAGCAATAATTAAGAAATATTTAAGCAAAAAAAACAAAGAATAATCAAGAAAAATATGTTTCACCTTCTATTGTTATTGTTTTTTTTTTTAACTTCTCATCATTTTCTGTTTCACTTGCCTAAAACTTTGTTTTGCTATCTTGTAGAACAACTAAAGTTACGAGAATTAACAGTAAAAACAGAAGAAATTTATGGAACAAAACTAATTAATCGGTCCAAATATAATTTATAGGATTCACTCAAAATAGAGTTTGGAATACAACGACTAAGGCTAAAAGTTTAAATGGTGGCAATAGAAATGAAAATGATTTGAAATTTTAGTAACGGAAAAACCACAAAAAAAATTACAGAATTTTCCCAAAATATAAACAATATTCGGAATACAGTGACCAGCTATCAAAACGAAAAAGAGTTCATTACATAACATACTGTCCTTGATTGTTTGCAGATTTTAATCTTAAGGAGCTCAAGAATTTCTAAAATATTTCTTGAGATTCTCTATAACTTAGACTTAATAATGTTGGGCTTGGCCTAGTTAAGAATGATTTAACCATGGTCCCAAAATTAAGTTTGACCCAGAATCAAGTCTAAGTTAAATAGTTACATACAAACAAAAGTTCAATTATTTAATATTTTTAAAACGAAACGAGATATAATTTTGTTTTTTAAACCCAAAAAAAAACGAACTCTCAAATAAAACGATCAAGGTTCCGAATGTGAATAGCGAAAGTATAGATTTGAGGTTCATACACTTTTTGGCTGCCAACAAAAATAAAATTTAAAATGCCTTTAAAACGATCGAAATTCGAAATACAACGACTAGCTACAGAAATGGAGAGAAGTTGATGGATAGTTTCATCACACATCACCAGCCGGTCCAGCCCTATAACTAAAATATCTATCAAGACAAAAACAAAAAAAAAACAAAAAAAAACCAGAAAATTTAACAATTCAATTACGAAGAGATCAAATTTTCAAGTTTGTTAATTTCATGCTTCGGCTTCGCCTTCACCACAATGTCCACGCTCCACATGACCAGAAGATGAACCATCACAGTCTTTCCCCAACCGCTGGATATTGATAGCGCATAAACTATCATGTAACTCGACAAACGCTTGGTGCCTCTGCTTCAACTCCTCCATGCTCAAGCCTTCAGAAGGAATGTTCCACCACATTTTGTCTAACTTCTTTTCGAATCTCGACCCCTTCAAATTTTTCACATTCTCCTTTTCCATCTCTAGCTCCTCAACGAGATCAACGTATTTTTTCATGAGTTCCTCGATCCTTTGTCTCTTATAAGCTTCGACTAGCGCTCCCGTATTGGTAACGTCTTTCGAGGATGGTTCATGTCTCAGCAGGCCAACCACTTTCTCCATAGACGGATGTGCGAATGTGTAAGGCTTTCCGGCTTGAGAGAAAACCATGAAAGCCGCTTCCACGTCGCACAGTGTGATGATCTCGTTCATCTTCTTGAAAATCCCTGATTTACGTTTTGAGAACGTAATCATTCTGTCTGCGTAGGTTTCAACCACCTTCATCTCGATCTTTTGCTTTCCCTTTGTTTGTTTCCCCTTCGTATGCTTCATTGACATGTTTTCAGGAACCGGAGTGTTTGATTTCTATTAAGGTGTTTTCGTTTTGTGTCGTATAAAATTACCATGCACGAGCACAATCTCTTTATAGGAAAAGAAAGAGATAGAAGTATGTCAAGTTGTTAGTAGACATTTAATGTTTACGAAGATATTGTATTGACTGACAACTTTACAAATTTGACTAACAATTTGACAACCACTTAAATATTGTCAACAATCCCTTATCCATTGCACAAAAAGTAAGTCAACAAACTACCATGGTAACTCAATTGGTGTACTCGATAAGGTCGCAATAATTTCTTATCCAAGAAAACTATGAATCTAAAATTTGGAACAGATTTCTATTAAAAGAGAAAAAAAAATGCCATAAGCCAATAAATTAATAACAAAATATCTATTAAATAAACAAACTACTATATATGATAACTCAATTGGTATACTAGTTGGTTGACGAAAAGGCGTAATGGCTAGTCTTCGCAATAATTTCTCACCCGAATTATGAACAAATAATAAAGAGTCAATAATATATGTCAAATTTTCATGTTTCCAAATTTCTCACTAACAAAGCTACTCTTTCACTCACACATGTGTTCACTATCTCAAATACAAGACGCTATGCTACTTTCTATTTGTGATGGGGGAAAATGCTGAAATAGCAGACAAACAAACTTTAGAGTCGAAATTTACTCGAATAAGTTTCCAAATACATAGATAACATGAAATACTGTATAACCATTGTTTTCTTTCAAAGTTTAACTAAGATAGAAATCCATGAACTTTGATGAAATATAGATGCTTCGAATGTTTTTTTTTTTTTGAAAAAACTTATACTTAAATATCGTTAATTAAACTTTCTTGTTTAGAAAAAAATTCGTTAATTTTCAACTAACATCCAAGAAATAGAGCGTACCATTTTGTAATAAGTGTAAGACGATTGGTTAGGTGAATCATACAAAGATATCTTCGTTTTCATCAACAAATAATAAAAAAATGATAATAAAAAAAAAAAATCTATATGAGGAGAAAATTAGCTGTGACAATACTCTGAAAGCCAAACAGGCTAACTACCAGATCCCCAAAAACAGAGAATTGTCGATACTCACGCCAAAGAGAAGAAGAAGAAGAAGAAGAAGGATGGGTGTGGTGAAGTCGGCGTTAGGGGATATGCTGATGACCTTCTCCTGGGTTGTCCTCTCCGCGACCTTCGGTTTACAGACGACGGCGATTGTCTCCGCCGGCGGTTTTCAAGGAATCACTTGGGCACCTTTGGCGATTATCACGTTTCTGATTTTCTTCTACGTTTCGATCTTCACCGTTGTCTTCGGCGGCGCTAGCTTCAACCCTACCGGAAACGCCGCCTTCTATGTCGCCGGTATCCCCGGAGATACTCTTTTCTCCTTGGCTATCAGATTACCTGCTCAGGTACACACACTATCTAAGATCCAAACATTTTCGTGGAATATCTGGATTTGAGCTTTAATTTTGGGTTTACACTTACTCTCCTAGTTCATTGCTTTGGGTTTAGTTCGTTTTACAGATTTAGTCAATATTTGTGATATGTGGATAGTTCTTTCATAGGATTGGTTTTTGTCTCTGCGAATCTGAATCTAACTGTGTATGAATCTCAGTCTCTATAGTATATGCTGTGGTGAGATTTTCCCCCACTGGTTTGCCCCATTAAGGTTGTTTGAAATAGAGTTTTACTTATTCTTGCTCAATTTCATCGTGCATCATTTAGGTACAATGAGAATGCTCTTCTGTTGTTGTTCTTATATTCTCACTTTGATCTGGTTTGTGTAGTGGGGTATAATTTTTGTACAAGAAGAACACAGAGAATCAGATTCTTTTTAATTCACTTTTGACGTTTTCTTTTGGTTGATCTATGTGTTTCCCACTTTACTAAAGCAGGAAAACAAAACCACTTCTGTTCTTTGTTTCCCACTTTAGCTTTTCTTTGATCTTTCTCGCGTGTCCATGTGTTTTAATGTATAACATAAAGAGAGAAAAAGACTATTAGTTGAAACTTGAAAATTTACTTAAGTTGATTTAGGAATAAGTAAGTTCTACTCCTTTTGGGAGTTAAATTGAGCAAAAAGGACTTTAATGCCTCTTGATAAGATCAAATATTCATGATCCTTCTGTTCACTAATTCCTGATTCTTACATCCTTTTGCTTGAGAAGCAAAGTTTCTTATTCCTGGAAAATGTATGTGAGATTGTTTTGGTGATTCCAGGCAGCTGGTGCTGCAGGAGGTGCACTGGCCATTATGGAGTTCATACCAGAGAAGTACAAGCATATGATTTCAGGGCCTTCCCTTCAGGTTGATGTGCACACCGGAGCTATTGCAGAAACCATCTTAAGTTTTGGTATTACCTTTGCGGTTTTGCTTATTATCCTCAGGGGCCCACGAAGATTACTCGCTAAGACGTTCTTGCTTGCTCTTGCAACCATCTCATTCGTTGTTGCTGGGTCTAAATACACCGGACCAGCCATGAATCCTGCCATTGTAAGTACACATGGTTTCTCTTTCCTTTTGCCTGATACATTCGGTATCCATGTTCACATCATGTCACTTGCCCTGTTTTTCCTTCATAAGCCTGTTTTATCTATTAGCAAATGGTTTTGTCACTATGATTATGTCCATCAAAAGAAGGATGATGTTTCTAAATCCGCCTTGTGTTTGCAATGCAGGCGTTTGGGTGGGCATACATGAACAGCTCTCACAACACATGGGACCATTTCTACGTCTACTGGATCAGTTCTTTCGTAGGAGCTTTATCTGCTGCACTTGTCTTCCGTTCTATCTTCCCGCCACCTCGGCCGCAGAAGAAACAGAAGAAAGCCTGAGGAGAAACCAATGGGGGGGAGAACACCGGTCAGATTCTTTACCGGACTGGGCTGTAGGAAGATTAAGAAGGTTTCTCCATTCTAAAATAAGGAGAAACCGGAAAAAGTCTAAATCATTGTTTAAAAAATTCACGCTTTATTTATGGATTTGTGTGGACGTCACTATTCTCCGGTTTGTGCATAAAAATCATTCAGACTCTATTCCGGTTATATCAATGTCTGGTTTAGTTTAGTTATGTTCGGTTCATTCTCTAATTTGGTTCTGGGAACAAAGAAACTAAAAGGCGAGAAAAAAACGTTTAACGGCTTGTGGGAGAAAACCGATCGAGTGATCACATTCCGTTTGGCTTGGTTTTCTTGAATTCTGTTCGGTTTATTTCTCTCAAACCGAAGAAATTATCTAACATCTCTCTCTCTAATGTAGCTCAAAATTTCTCTTAATGAATACGTTAAGTTTTGTCTAAACTTTACACTAAAATGAATCAGTCAGCTTTTCGTGGATGTTACCCAACTCTCCTCCGCAATCTTTAAATAAAACGTAACGTCTTCTTTTGGTCGTATCGCTCACGCAAATTCCGATTCAGATCCGAAGTACAATTCGAATTCGAAACGCCGGGATCAATCCGGTAGCAACCGCACTTGCAATCGATCGCCGATCTGGATCCGTCAAAGGATCCGCCGCAGTCCTTGAAGACGTCGGCATCCTCCGCCACCGGCAACAAGATCCGCTACCGCTCGCCTTCCGCCTCTGAGCTACTGGAGTCAGGACTCGCCACCGGATTGTCCGGAAACTATTCTTCTACCTCCGACCCTCACCAAGGCCTTGCGTCTATCGACGGTGGGAAGATGACGGCGAAGCGAGCGATCGGGAGGCACGAATCTCTTGCTGACAAGATCCATCGCCATCGTGGTGTCCTACTCCTGATCTCGATTCCCATTGTTTTGATCACTCTCGTGCTTCTGTTAATGCCGGGGACGTCGACGTCCGTCTCCGTCATTGAAGAGTACACGTTGAAAAACCGTGCGGGAGGCTCGAATTCGAGGGGTCCGAAGAATTACGCTGTGATTTTCGATGCTGGAAGTTCTGGAAGCCGCGTGCATGTCTACTGTTTCGATCAGAATTTGGATCTCGTTCCTTTGGGCAATGAGCTCGAGCTCTTCATTCAGGTATTGCATTTGTTTTGCTCTTCGTTCTTCGATATAAATTCATGTTCTATTATGAACTCAATCATACAATTTTCTTCGTTTAAATTTTCTTTTGTTGGTTTTAGAAACTGTTTGGACTCTGTCTCCATATTCCATAGTTTATTCGAAATTGCAGTTGTGTGATATTCTCCCACCAAATGCGGTTAAGAAGAAACGGGTTACAGTACGATTGTTAATTTTAAAATGGATAAAGCCGCCTCTTCGCTTGTTTTTGTGTATATGATCTTGCTCTGAAGTTAATATCTCTGAGCCAAAGCTCATCATGAAACTTGATCTTGGTTCTCGAGGTCCACAATTCGCTCCTGGAATCCCCAACAAGAAGCTTGACGGATGATAATAGATTCCAGAATTAGCTTAAGTTTATTGTTTTATTATGCATTTTGGTGGCACTTCAGCTCGCTGGAATTTTTGGGGGCTGAACTTTTATTCTGATACTGTTTCAGCTAAAACCTGGGTTGAGTGCCTATCCTAATGATCCTCGGCAATCAGCAAACTCTTTGGTGTCTCTTCTTGACAAAGCAGAGGCTTCTGTTCCTCGTGAGTTGCGGCCGAACACTCCTGTCAGAGTTGGGGTATGAAAACGAGTTCTTGCACACAAAGAAAATTGGAGCTATTCATGTGGTCATCCACTTGTGTATTAGTCATTTGAGCTGTTTTGCATTATATCTTGTGTAGGCAACTGCAGGTTTGAGGGCTTTAGGTCACAAAGCTTCTGAAAATATTTTGCAAGCGGTAAGTTTGGGGCTTATCATTTCTACAAATAGTCGCCTTCTTTTCAAACTTGTATACTTAAATATAATCTTGCTTTTAAGGTCAGGGAGCTCCTGAAAGATAGAAGCAGGTTGAAGACTGAGGCAAATGCAGTTACTGTTCTGGATGGTACTCAGGAAGGTTCTTATCAGTGGGTATGTTGTAGTTTCTTTCATCTATTAGTGTCAGATTCGTGTTAAATCTAGCTCGTATTTTCGTTCTGTTATAGCACGGTTAGATACTTTTGTGCCTGTATTTGTTGTGAGCCTCCATAGATGTCTTCAGTCTTTCTATCTTCCATACTGACTCCTGCGTAGTAATTCCGAGGACTGATCTCCCTGAATATATTTGTTTTATCTTAAACAACCTGCAGTCGATTAACAAATTTCCATTTTCTCCAAATTTTCCATTCTTTAGGTGACAATCAACTACTTGCTAAGGACTTTGGGAAAGCCTTACTCAGATACAGTAGGAGTGGTTGATCTTGGAGGGGGATCCGTTCAAATGGCATATGCTATATCAGAGGAAGATGCTGCAACTGCACCAAAACCATTGGAAGGCGAGGATTCTTATGTCAGAGAAATGTATCTGAAGGGACGGAAGTATTTCCTCTATGTTCACAGGTTGGTCATCTGTCATTGCTTTGGTACCCATTAGATGTATTGTTCTTCCTTATATAAACGACATTAAACTAATTTTTATTTATCCTTTATCTTTAACGTAATATTTGATCGGCCTGTTGATTGCAGCTACCTACATTACGGGTTATTGGCTGCCCGAGCAGAGATTTTGAAAGTTTCTGAGGGCTCTAACAACCCCTGCATTGTGACCGGCTATGATGGTAAGTCAGAGACATTATTATTTTATCCTCACTAGAACACTCTCTTTCAAACTAGAACTCTCTGCATCCTATCCTCACTATACACATTCTTTTCGATGTCCATTTTATTTTTCTAAAATCAGTGTTGTATCCTTTTCGCATGTAATTACTTGTAAGTTCGTCCGGTCCTGTCCTTAATTTTCTTCATCTTTTGATGTAGATGGCTATAATTATGGAACATATAGCTCTGCCGTTGCTCTAGTATTTTACATTGCACTTTCTGTTTCCTTTAAACTCTCAGTGATTCGTTTCAGGTACTTACAAGTATGGTGGAAAAGCGTTTAGAGCCGCAGCTTCTCCATCTGGTGCAAGTCTAGACGAATGTCGGCGAGTAGCTCTTAACGCACTCAAAGTAAATGATTCACTGTGTACACACATGAAATGCACATTCGGTGGAGTATGGAACGGTGGAGGCGGTGGTGGCCAAAAGAATATGTTTGTTGCATCATTTTTCTTTGATAGAGCAGCCGAGGTAATATTATCGCCTTTTAAGATTTCATTAAGTAACATCACACTGTTTGTTATGCTTAATACCATGGTGGTAATGGCAGGCTGGTTTTGTTGACCCGACGCAACCTGTGGCTATTGTTCATCCAGTTGACTTTGAGAAAGCAGCCAACCAAGCTTGTAACATGAAAATGGGAGAAGGGAAAACGAAGTTCCCACGTGTGGAGGAAGACAATCTTCCTTACTTGTGCTTGGATCTTGTTTACCAATATACTCTCCTCGTTGATGGATTCGGTAAATTATACTTTACGTCTTCTTTTTTTTTTTTTACTCACGACCCAAAAAATTTCAATCTACATTACGCCTATCATGGTAATGATAAGTCAGATGATAATTTAGGATGATCATGATAATAGTTAGTATATATGATGGGCATGCACATAGTAATTGGACTGTGTTAGATTTGTGTTAGTTCGGTCTTCGGTGATATGATGAGTGATGATAACTGGAACTCGGAAGCCATGTAGAAAACATGTTAGAAGGAAATATACAGAACAGTATTAACTATCGCAATTCGGTCTACGGTTTCGATTTCGTTCCAAATTTTTGGTCTGTGATATAAATTAAATCGATTTTCCAAAGTTTGGTTTATTGTTTATAGTTCTTTATATTATTTCCAATACGGACCATTTCTACTAGAAACTTTGCATTGTCGAAATATATTTAATTTTCCACAATTTTATCCATAGATTTTTTATCAGTGAAATGTGTTTATTCTTAATTTTAATTAGTTTTGTTAAAATATAACAGGATTGAAGCCATCACAGACAATAACGTTAGTGAAGAAGGTAAAATATGGAGACTATGCCGTGGAAGCTGCATGGCCACTAGGAAGCGCCATAGAGGCCGTATCCTCACCATGACACCATGAGTGGGAGGACACTTGCACAAAACCCATATTCTTTTGATTTCTCCCAAATTCTCTCCCAATCTTTTTTCCCTACCTCCAAATTTTGTTATCTTTTTTTCTTGAAAAAGAAAAGAAAAGTTTCTATTATCTACCTCCAAATTATATCATTAATAAGATCTATCTATTTTTGTAACAATAATCCATCTAAAAGAGAAAAAAGTGAAGAGTTTCTACCATTCTTATTATATTATCGAACTTTCAAATTTTTGGTAAACTAAACTGCATACGTGTCCTCGGTTTCTTGACGATTGAAAATTTGATTTTGTAGTCTGTACATGTAGAATCGTCTCTCTGTTTTTTTTTTTGTATTCTTTTTCAGACCTACAATTATTGGGATTGATTGAATTAGTTTAATACTGATAATTCAGTAAACGTCATTATTATTATTTTTGACTTGGAAAAAAGTTAATATATTCCGATTTGTAGTCTAGTATATTCAAATCCCTATAAATTCACATATTAGGCCAATATGTTTTTTTCCCGTGAATACTCTGTATATGTAACTTCGAAGATAAGTGACAAGTATGTGCAAAAAGAATTGGAGATGGGCGTTGACCAGTCAAAGGTATAGTTTGAAACTTATACGTTAGATGAGTGGTCCTGTCATATAAACTGAACTGCTTTGATATTTGACCATTTACACGCCCGCCCATTCTAATTTCATGTCACCAACTTGACTTCGACGACCAAAGTAATACTACATTGGTATACTTTGTAAGTTCGAATAAACAATGAGAATCCTATAAGAACCCAAATCGGGTAAAGCTATATATATATATATATAGACTATATAAGACTTTTTGATTACTTGGTTCACAGTCAATTTTATTATTGGTTACTTCAGTTCAAACAAACAAATTTCAGCAGTTAAACCAAAAACGTCTCTTGACTAATCTTTTTGCACTTTTTTGTATTTAGAGGTTTCAATATATTATTATATAAGAGTGGCCTTGCATAACTTGTATATTGAAGGTTGGACTTTTCGTCCTTACTTTGTAGACGGTACATAGGCATTTTTAATATGTTAAAAAAATATATATATTGTGATGATAGGAGCGTACGGTAATAAAATGAGAAAAGAAAACAATAACAATTTTTTTCTTCGAGAAATACAAAAGTTAGAACTTGAAAGTATAAGATGTTGATTGGTGAGTAGTTGCAAACTTGACAAGTGAGTGTTCAAATTCGAGTAGAACAAGTAAGCTTTCATTATATCTAACCACACTAAGACACACTTATTGGCATAAATGAAATTTAATTTTGTTAGATATCTTCTTAATAGAAGGATCCACACCTATATTTTACATCTTTATCTATATAAAGTAAGGAAATGGAAAGAAAGATGAGAAAATATGTGCTCAAACTACAAAATACCATTCCTAAATTTCGTAAAGAGACCACTATTCAGCTAGTTAGTACCCATCATTCCAGAAACGAAAAAGCAATTCCAAAATAAAAAGATACTAATAATAAAGAAAAAGAAGAAAAGGATGTAAATTAATTAAGATGAGCATTGATATTTTTTCCATTCCGTAAAATTTGCTCTTAAGGAATTTCACATATTAAAAAAGATTTATATAATTATATATAACAAAATAGTTTATATTGTATTTGCATAAAAAGTTTACCAGATATCAATATATGTAAAATGGAAAAATTAATCAAAAACATTAATTGTTGTAAACAAGAGTGAGTAGCTTATATCAAAACCAACTACGTATCTAGCTACGAACTAAATTTGATGAAAATCAAAAGACTAGTATCCTATGTAGAACATTAGAAATAACACAATGACTCATGACATTAATCCATCTATCATTGTGTCATTGTTTTATTTTTAATTAAAAAGAAAACAGTTGAATTGAAGTGGATAATATCAAAACTTTTATGAAGAGTGTGGACTTTACTCCATTCTTTTGGCATCTGCTATCTTTTACGGTTTGTCTTGATATAAATTTATAATACTTCTATTTATTTATTTTCTTAAAGCAAGTTTCCTCATCTGATTTTGGCGTTTTCCATTTTTCTATAACCGTCTATTTTCTCCTTATTATTTTCCTACAAATTAGACTTAATTACAAACATATTTAACATTTACGCACACAGCACACTACATGTACTGTAATTTATAAATATTTGCGTTTTTGAACTATAATTGAGGAATGTTTTGTGAGGAGAGAAAATTCAGCTCACCTGTATATAGAATTTGAGGATATTTTCTTTGGTGTACATGCATTAAGCTATGAGCACGACAAACTTGCTGCTTTTGTTTCATAACAATTGAAGAGACCGTAACTGGCGTTATTAAAAAAATTTAAAACGTTAGCAAAATTACTACTTCAAAAGAACACTCGTTTTATATAAAAGTGACGCCTATTATAATTACCAGGACATTATAAATCATCATTCAAAAACTATTTCACTGAATTTGTTTCATTTTTTTCTGGAAAAGACTTTGTTTCATTTCTATTTGTTGGAGGTGAAAACCGCACCCTGGTTTTCTCCGGTACAAACTGAGATCGGCGAACCGTAAGCCCGGTTTACGAAGGGATATACCAAGAGAAGATGGGCCGAGCGAAGATGGGCCGAAGATAGCCCATTAGGCCGAGGTCGGTGGGAAACCTCTCAAAGGAATGGAAGGTTTCCTTGAGCTCGGCCGAAACAGGAAAGTTTCCTGAGGGAAAAAGGAAACTTCGGAGAAAGGAACCGAGAGAAAAGGAAACTCCTCTCGGTCCCATATCGTCTAAGGCGTGCTTGAAGACCGACTTATGAGATATATATAAAGGGAGACGAATCGACATCAGAGAACACAAGTTATTCCCAAGAAGACTTAAAGACTGAGAACTCGTTACAACAGCTTCTTAGTCGCATTAAGTCTTAGTTCGTTATTGCCTATTGAAGTAACCGAACTCAGTTGTATTTCACTCGATTCAATCTAATAAAACCGAGCTTCCGATCTAAATTACTGTTCTGTCCCTTGTCGATATTCACATATCAACAATTGGCGCGCCAGGAAGGGGGCTTTATACAGATATCTCAGATTTTTGATCGGACTTCGGAAAGATTGAATCAGCGATGGCAGACCAGTCCAACGTTCACGAAGAAGAAAACCCTCTCAGGGGAAATAACATCAACGCCCAAACAGGGCAAACGGGAGGAACTCCTAGAGAAAACACCGGAACTGCTGCCGAGCAAACTCCCGCAGCCGTAACCGACCTGTTACTCCAAATGTTCACTGCTCAGTTCGAAGCCATCAACAAAAGGAGCGAGGAATGTTTCAGTCAGATGGCGGCACAGATCGCCGAACTCAGTCAGACACGAACTCCTCTCCGAGTTCGAAACATCATTGACGATCTCAATGCCGACGGAGATCCAACCGGAACTATGAGGTCTGCCGCGGTCGGGTCAGCAAACCCACCAGCACCGGATTTAAGCCGAGACGCCGAGTTTGAAGCGATGAAAGCGCAGCTTCGCGATATCACCTCAAAAATACATCAAGCCACAAGCGCGGCTCCGGAGATCGAGCGTGTCATTCAGGAAACACAGAAGACTCCTTTCACATCGCGCATCGCAGGGACGCCGGTCAAGCACATGGAGAAACTGAAGATGAAAATCTACGAGGGCAACTCTGACCCTCGACACTTCCTGACATCGTTCGGCATCTGCATGAACCGATACCAGTTTAAGTCTGCCGAAGAAAGAGACGCGGTTCAGTGCCAACTATTTGTAGAAAGTCTGGGAGGAGTAGCTCTCGACTGGTTCTCACGGCTCGAAGCCAAATCAATCGACAGCTACAAAGAGTTAACGACAGCCTTCGTCAAGCACTTCTCTATGTTCATTGGACAGAATACCAAGAACTCCGAGCTCTGGCAAATAGCTCAAGGACCAAGCGAGAGCCTTCGCGACTTCATCCAGCGCTTCAAGGCAATCGTCGCCAACTGCACGATTAGCGACGAAGCCGCTCTCTTATGCCTTCAAAAAGGAGCTCGGATAAAGACCAGTTTCCGAAGCGCGATCACGCACAACCCACCACAGACGTTAGAAGATGCGTTACACCGAGCTAATACTTACATTGCTGAAGAAGAAGAAGAAGCTGCGTATGAGCAAAGTCACTCAACAAAACAACCCGAACGTCTGAAACCCGCGACTAACGAGCCACAGCCGGGATACGGTCGAGGATACGAGAACCGCAAGAGACTTTATGCTAACGCAATTCAACAACCAAGCAAGCAGTGGAATAATAAATGGGTCCGCAGTGAAGAAGACCAAGACGAGTCGTTATTCTGCGAATTCCATAACCGTAGGGGCCACATCACCGAAGAATGCAAGCATTTGCGAGAATATCTACTCGGCCTGTATCGTAAGGAGCCGATCTCGGTCGACGAACTCCGACGCTCAAATACGCCCAAGAGCGGTGGGCAACTCTCGATGCCTCGACCGAACAACGAACATCTCGAGAAAGCACTTGCCAAAGATCCACCAACTCCACCGGCTTTACCGACACTACCACCACCGCCACCGAATCCGCCTGCTTTGCCCGAGCAACAGAAACGGAATCGCGATGACCGAGCTCCGGAGAATCATGCTCCTAAGGCGCGAAAACGTGTTAACATGATAATGGGGGCCATCGAAGCTTGCAGTTATTCTGTTCGAGCCATCAAAGAATACAGCAAACAAGCCGCTAGCATACCAAAAACCCCGCAGGATCCTCCGAAGGGAGCGCCCTTGGTCTTTACCGAGGCTGACACAATCGGAATTCACAAGCCGCATAATGACGCTCTCGTTGTCGATCTACTCCTCGACGACGTCGAAGTTAGCCGCATTCTGATCGATACTGGCAGTTCGGTCAACGTTATCTTCAAGGAAGCACTTGACCAGCTCGAGTTGGCGTCAGATAGGATTGATCCGTTCATCGAGCCACTTACCGAATTTGATGGAGAACGTTGTATGACGATCGGCACTGTCAAAATCCCAATCTACGTCGGCGGAATCGCAAAGATGATCCAGTTCCTTATCCTCGACAAACCGGCGATCTACAACGCTATTCTCGGTACGCCATGGCTGCACGCAATGAAAGCGGTCGCTTCGACGTACCATCAATGCTTGAAGTTCCCGACCCCTGACGGTGTGTACACACTCCGAGGAGACCAAGCCGTTGCTCGATCGTGCTACATAAATGAGTGCAGACTCCACTCGGCCAACCAAGCTTGCGTTATTAGTTCGTTCGGACCAACTGAAAAGCTCATCGTCCAAAAGACAAAGCCTTAGCAGGAATCAATCGTTCAAGTTAGCATTGACGAACTCAGGCCAGAGCGTCAAGTTGGAATTGGTGCCGAGCTCGACCCAGTCATCCGTGAACCACTCATTCGTTTCTTGAAACAGCATACCCCGAGATCCACGGAATCGACGTCAAGAAGTTCGTCTGGAAGTTCATCATCTGTCGACACGGAGTTCCGTATGAGATCGTTACGGACAATGGAACCCAGTTCACTTCGATAATTTTCCAAGATTTTTGCGCCAAGTGGAAAATCCGACTAAGTTTCTCCACCCCGCGTTATCCGCAAGGCAACGGACAAACCGAAGCCACGAACAAGACCATCATTGACTGACTGAAGAAACGACTCGATATCGCTAAGGGAACGTGGGCAGACGAACTCGACGGCGTCCTGTGGTCTCATCGAACAACACCGCGACGTTCAACCGGTCAGTCACCCTTCTTCCTTGCGTATGGCGCAGAAGCTATGTGTCCAGCCGAACTTAACGTCCCAAGCATTCGCCGAACTATGCTTACCCAGCAACCCGAGGCGAATGACAATATGATGATCGACGCACTTGACTTAGTTGAAGAACATCGCGAACGAGCACTACTCCGGATACAGAATTACCAACAACTTGCAGCTCGTTACTACAATAAAAAAGTTAAGGGCCGTCACTTCGAAGACGGCGACCTCGTACTTCGTAAAGTCTATCAAAACACCGAAGAGAAGAATGCAGGAAAACTTGGCGCGAACTGGGAAGGACCATATCAGATTATGAAGGTTGTTAAGCCCGGCGTTTATCAACTCATGAAGTTAGACGGAACTCCGATCCCGCGATCTTGGAACTCGATGCATCTCAAACGATACTACTACTAGTTCGTTTCGAAGCGCTAAAAAAAAAAAAAAAAAAAAAGCCTCCGAATTACTTAGTCGGAGCGAAAACCCCTTTCGTACTTAGAACTACGAATGGCTTGATCCCTTTAAAGGGTACGTAGGCAGCTCGTTCCGAGTCCAGCTCGTTCCGAGTCCAGCTATAACATCAATAAAATTTTATTGTCAAGATATGACTATAAGTGTTAGTTCGAAATCACAAGGGACCGAACTCCTTATCTTTACATCGACTTCCTGGCCAGTTGTTCGATAGCATTCCACATGAATGCAAACTTAAAAGCCGAGATCCGTCTCGCAAGCACCCACATGGTGTCGTGGTTAAGTCACATATCAAAAGCCGGGCCCAGTCCCGAAGTTAAATTTCTAAGTCACCAAGAACAATAAGCCGAGCACATCTCGCATACTTAGGTTCGACTTAGAAAAACCTTGAATTCGTTTCATGCGTTTACAGGAGTTCGAATCTAATTCACTCTTCCAGTACGAAACGATTCACTTGGGTTCCCCAGGCCGAGCTCATACGCTCGCACGATAAGCCGAACTCCTCAGATTCGCACCGTAAGCCGAGTTCACAACACTCGCAAAACGTAAGCCGAATTATCGCAATTCGCTATCAAAAGATAATAATCACGTTCGAATATCTACTATATACCGATCTAGTACTTAAGCATTAACCGCAAATCTTAACGACGACATAAAGTTAAAACCGAAGGTTAGATGCCGAAGGTCTTTCTAAAATAAAAAAGCCCCGAAAGGCAAATAGAGTCAGAACCCACCAAGGGCTCGGAATTAAAATTACAAAAAGAAACCCATGCAAGGGCAGTTAAGTTCGAAGGGTAAAAGAAAAATAGGAAGAGATTAGATGGTCTTCGAGGCAGCAGCGTTGAGTATGTCCTCGTTTGAGCCGAACTGCTCGCCCCTCGCAGGATCTTGCGCGCTCTGAGTCACATTTACGACCGGGATGTCATCTTCCTCTACGAACGGAGACATCTTCTTGTCCTCCTCAGTGAGCGCGCAAGCATCGATCGCCTTGAAGTCCTCCAGCGCCTTGGCATGCCTTGCTTCAATATCCGCAACCATTTCTGGCGGGACCTCGTACAGACCCTTCCTCCGCAACTGCTTGATGAAACCGAGGATCCCAGTGAGCTGGTTGTAGACCAAGTACAGCTTCCGAGCCCTGTCAGCATCATCCAAACTCCGAATGACCTTCTCAAGGCGTTCGTAAGCCGTTGCGTGAACGCTCCTAGCTCGATTCTTCCAGTGCACCACCATACCTTGTAGCCGCCCTTTGTCCTTCTCGAACTCTTTGGAGAGTAAATTCTAGGCCTCGGTGAGCTCGTCTTTCACCGCCTTCAGCTCTGCACTCTCCTTTTTCAGCAAGTCAACTTGAGAGTGCAGAGTTTCGTTGATTTGGAGCTCAGTGGCGAGACGCTCCTCTGCTTTGGCTATCCTTTCTTCGAGCTCGGAGACCCTTACTTGCTCGTCGAACAGCTACTTCATATGCAGCGACCAAGTTATTGGTCTGACTGGCGAGCTGCACAGTTGAAACAGGAATTAGAACTCATACTTGGAAGAATATCTAAGTCTATAAAGGGTAAGTAAAATTACCACAGCAGTCGTGTGAGCGATTCCCTTGTACATGTTGGGAAACCGGAGCTTGGGAACCGAGGGAAGGCTAGGTACCTCCGAGGAGATCTTATGATAGAGCTCGGCGCAGGCATCTATGTTCTCCTCAAAAGGAGTCTCCTCGTCGTAGTCAAAACAAACTCGGACTCTCTTAGCCGGCCCGTGCTCTTGAGAGCCCTCGACATGGTCTCTGGTTTGCCTTTTTCGGGAGTGTGAAGCTTCAACTCGATCTTGCGAGAGCGCGAGGCCCGACGCCACAGCTGTCGGTGGATCGAGCTCGGCGGGAGTATCTTGCACCCGAGAAGAGTCCTCTGCTTTCTTACTCTTCTTCGAAGACTTCTTCTTCTTCGTCTTCCTCTGATCAACCTGATCAGGTGAGTCCACAGCAGGTGGCAACTCTTCTGGCTGCACTTCGGTCTGTTCAGCAGCAAGGACTGGGTCGGTTCAGCCACCTCCGTTTCCTCTTCACCGAAGAGAGTTGGGATTTCGTCAATGGAAAGCATCCTGGCAGCTCGGGAGTTTTGAGTTCGCGACTTCAGTGATTGGCGTTTGGGAGCGGTTCGAGGCTTGCTAGCTCGAGTTCTCGGCTTGCGTGGTTTTGGTTCTCGAACGGAGCCTGAAACGAAAATGTGTTTAAGGAGGAGTTCGGAGTAAATTCAGAATAAAGTGAGTAAAGATAGAATTCGATGAACATACCCGCTTTCTTAGCTCGACGTTGTAGGATTTCTTCCCAAACCTCCGGCCAACGACGTTTACCGGCTTCGCTGAATGCTTCTCCGAACTCAGAGGTGAGTCCGGAGTTGAGAAGGAGACTCGGAAGATGACGACCTACGAAAATAAAACGAAGTCGAGTTAGCAAGCAGTAAAAATCAAAAGTTATCTAAGTGTGAAATCATCTAAATCTACCAATCGGAATCTTCCAATTCGACTGAATTTCGATGTCAGAATTGCTGACGGTGAGATCGTTCATTTCAATATAGAAGTACTGGGACTCCCAATCGTTGAATTTTCTGGGCTTAGGTCCCATAACTAAATTCTTCTTCGGCTTGGCATTGGCGGCGAAGAACCACTCCTTGGACTTATGGATATTGACCGAGAAGAGGTCTTCGAAAATTCGACTCGATGGGACTTCGCCAAGCTCGTCGCATAAGGAAACGAACCCAACGTAGTTCGTTATTGAGGCCGGCATCACCTGTGTGAGAGCTACGCCGCGCCGATTGCAGTATCCCAGTAGGCGAGAGGGAATGGGGAAAGAAAGCCCGCACTGAGTGAAGTACGTCAGGTAGACGCAAAGGAAGCCTTCGGGAGCGTCCCACGGCCGATCTCTAGCCTCCGGAATGATGAAAATAATCTTGTCCGCAAGACCGTTTGCCTCGAGCACGGCTCGAACGGCACCAGGAGAAAGGGAACAAGAGGGCACGTTGTCGGGACGAACTACTTTCCGCCTCGGAAGTGGTGGCGAAGCATGAATAACCGCTTCAATGTTGTCGACTTCAGTATCAGCAGCGTTCTCCCCCTGAAATTCTTCCTCGATCTCCTCGATCTCGGGGGTGTTAGCATCAACGTTCGGTCCAGCCCGAGCCTCCGTTTCGCGAGCCTCTGCAGTCAGATCTTCGGTAGCTTCAATTTTGACTCTAGCACGGCTGCTGCTAGCTTCCGCAGATTTAGAGTTCTTACGAACTAATTGGGGAAGATTGCTTTTTTCCCGTGATGAACTTGACTGCTGAGGGTTTGAAGAAGAGGAGCTCGGCTCCGAGGACTCACGGTGGTCTTCCGAAAGAATTTTATTCGAGGAAGAATTAATCGAAGAGCTGGAAGACATTTTAGGGTTTGGGAAAGAAGATTTGAAGGAAATAAAGAACAGTTTGAAGATCAACCGGAAAGTTTGAAGGTTGATCGGAAAAATCAAGAGTTCGCGGCGGCGAGAGTTGAAGAAACGAGAGAAAACGAAGAACAAAAACTAGAGAGAGAAATAAAATCTAGAGAGAAGGGAGAGCGGCGTACCTTATATATGCTTGAGGCGAGAATAATGAATGCGAGAAGAGGAGTTGCCCTTTATACACAGTGGGAATCGTGGGTTCCTCGATTTTCACGAAAAATCCCGTAATTCACGCGCCTCATTGAAGATAGGCGCGAAACGTCCGGAAATGCGAAACGACAACAGTTACCGAGCTCAGTTTGTGATCCAATAACCGAAGAATTGAGTTCAACTGAAAGTCACCTCCTTTCACCGAACTGAGGGGGGGGCTAACTGTTGGAGGTGAAAACCGCACCCTGGTTTTCTCCTGTACAAACTGAGATCGGCGAACCGTAAGCCCGGTTTACGAAGGGATGTACCAAGAGAAGATGGGCCGAGCGAAGATGGGCCGAAGATAGCCCATTAGGCCGAGGTCGGTGGGAAACCTCTCAAAGGAATGGAAGGTTTCCTTGAGCTCGGCCGAAACAGGAAAGTTTCCTGAGGGAAAAAGGAAACTTCGGAGAAAGGAACCGAGAGAAAAGGAAACTCCTCTCGGTCCCATATCGTCTAAGGCGTGCTTGAAGACCGACTTATTAGATATATATAAAGGGAGACGAATCGACATCAGAGAACACAAGTTATTCCCAAGAAGACTTAAAGACTGAGAACTCGTTACAACAGCTTCTTAGTCGCATTAAGTCTTAGTTCGTTATTTCTTATTAAAGTAACCGGACTCAGTTGTATTTCACTCGATTCAATCTAATAAAACCGAGCTTCCGATCTAAATTACTGTTCTGTCCCTTGTCGATATTCACATATCAACACTCTTCTATTTATTTTCTTGTAATCCGTTCATTCTGGTGCAAACATTCAAATTTCGATCGGACAGAGTTTTCGACCAACCTTCAAAACTTCATGATACTGTATAAATCGGTGATCACTTCGGATGATAATATATTAATATACTACATATCTGCATATATGTAAGGGTCCCCTAATCCTATATGGCCATATATAGTGTCACTTTTGTTTCTTAGCTTGTTCAACTTCTTACCAAACAAAATACATGCATGATACATCATTGATCAGTGAATAAATCGAACTTCCACATAAGAAATTTGTTCATGAATAAGCTCTAACGTTGATAAAGAAAAAACATCCGAATTATATTGTTCTCAATTTTACAATGATTGAGGTATATTTGTTGAAAATTAAAGAAAACTTAAACTGGAAAAAAAAAATTAAAACAAACAACAATGAACCACTGGCGTATTTTCAAATAACTCGTCTGGTATAATGTTTTTCAATCAACACTATTCGTCATTGTAGTGATAACGTTTATTATAATTGTTCTAAGCTATTCAAACTACCCTTACAGTATTTTTTCCTATTAGAAAATACTATACGCATATTAATTGAAACATATTGTTGAAAACCCTCTAACCAAAAAAAGGAAAACAAAAAAAAAGAAATGAAACATGTTCACCTATATACTAAATGCAAAATTGTTGACGCTTAATAGAGGATTCGAAAGTCACACGTGTGGTTGCTGGCATATCCTTGACTATTTTACTTTCCCTGATTCTTAACTTATTATGACGTTTTAATTGGTTGATTATATAATATTATAAGTTTAAAGGGAGACTTTAGATTTTTTGTAATTTTAATATTACGTTACGCGTACGACGTATGGGCATGTACAAATAGCTCCATTATTCCTAAAAAAAGTGAAGGTTCTTACTGGTTTATTAGGATGCACCATTATACAACCATACTATTTTTCCACCATATATAAATAGTTGGAAAAATAAATAACTGACGGGTATTACTCTTAAATAAATGTTAAGAAAACAAATTAAAATCAAGGCTATTTTTTAGGGGAATTTGAGTTGGCGTATGGTTTGCGTGTGCGTGTGAATGCCGCCGTGGCTTGTCATTATCATTTAAGGAAAAAAAACAAATTTTATCTGAATGATGTATGAATGTGTGATTAATAACATTAATCTAGTATAATTAACTTATTAAATTACGCTTTTAAAGTAAACGTTAACTATAGATCATGTGGGTGTTATGATTCCACGTTTGCTCTTCGGGAAGAAACCAATGTTTAAATCGGGTTTGCATCCCACCAAGAAACATATCAAATTAAGATTAGCTTAATACTTGCTTCATTAGACAAAGCACGTACTTCATTATATTTTACCATTAAATCAACATTATCGTTTTTTTTTTCTTTTTGTCAACAAATTATTGTCCTTTACTCTTTACACATGGTAGAGCGGCGATGGTCAAAGATTACTTTTGTTTTATATATGGATTTGATTTAAAGTTTTGTGTTAGTTCTTATCTCATTTGATCCAATCAAAATTTCAGTTTGTTTAATTTATGATTACCACTATCGAACATCCGCAGTTCAAAGTTTTGGTTCGGATTTACAGATTTTGTGTTGAATGTAAAGAGTAATACCGGTAAGTACGTAAAACAAATTATCAAACAATTGTATGTGATTTATATTGTTTGGTTGCATTTTAAGTGTTTGCAGTTAGGTCGTAAAAGTGTTAGTACATTGATAATTAACATAAATACTATCTTTTAAAAATGTATTAAAAAAGACTTTGTATAAATGTAAACTTGTGTCTGATAAGAAGTTTACAACTTGCGTCTGGTAAGAAAATATATAGTATTGTTTTATAAAAATGTAAACTAGTATTTTGAAATACAACCAAAAATGGGCGTTAGTAAAATTATTGAACGCTTGATATACGTGTACGTAGAATCAATTTCAACTTCTTGACTAAATTTTGTTGTAAAACAAAAAAAAACTTCTTGACTATTAACGTTATCATATTTCTTATTTTATTTGAAAATTTTCTAATCACAACAAAGAATAAACACAAATATTACATGACTTGGATAACAACTATGCAATATGCGGTCTATGTATATATACTACATCATATAGTGCACAATTGTGTAAGCCCATGATGACTTAGCGTATGCAAAAAAGAAAAATTGTATTGAATTTAAATTAGAAAGTTGTGCTTATCTCTTTTATATTTGAACGAAGAAGGAAATATCTTTCATATTTTAAACTTCTATTTTTGTACACACAACCTATTTTCGTCATCTATGAATGATAATTGTTATCTATATATAAAAATAGGGAAAATTCAATTAATCTAACAAATTCGGGAAAATTCATGAATCCGTTAAAGCAGCAAGCATCACATTTAAAGAATATGTTAGTGTTTTATCAATTTGATTTTTAATAACCTACTCTTAAAATGGCTTAAATAGAGATGAATCATCTAATCAAAATAATTAAACCATCGGTCTCATAATCTTCTCCGCAAGATACATCGTCCTCTTGGAGACTTGGATACAATTATATATCTGTATTGCGACAAGTTCGTTTCAGGAATTTTCCCTAGTTCTATAACGAAAAAAAGTATTTTCCTAGATTTATCAAGTTTTCTTGAAAGAAAAATAAAATATTTTCACTCTGGAAAAAAGATACAATTAATAATTAGACTAGAGTCTGATGCTTGCGTCAGCAGCCGCATCTGAGCTTACGTGGATATGGTTGGGACAAAAGTAAAACTAACCCAATCAGATATAATCTCAGAGGACACAGCTGTCTCGTATGGGCCCACTTCTCTAACAAAACTTCTTTCAATTATTCACACTCAATACAATGACACAAATAAATAATTATATAGTATTTAAATATTTGAAAATGGAACATTTGTGTTCATACTTATAGATATTTTGATATTTTTTTGGAAGATATTTAAGACTATTTCTTAAAGAAAATTTATAAAACTATATACGAAATTTTGGATTCAATAGCTAGAATGCGAGTTTCCAACACATTCGAATTTGAGTTTAATCTACCAGTACAAAGTTCGCTTATGTTGGATCTCATACTTAAAACAATCAAAGTCCAAATAGTACAAAGTTCCTCATTACCAATCTTTAAAATAGTATATATAAGTCTCTACGTAAAAAGTCTAATTAGACGAAATAAATACTACATCTAATTTAGGAGAAATATATAGACTGTTTGCACAAAATGACCAAAATTTTGAGTATGATATACAACAAATAAATGAATTATTTATTCCAGGTTCTATTCATAAAACATGCTTGAGTTTTTTTTTATTTTTGTTAAAGAAAACATGCTTGAGTTCGATGACGATATATGTTAGTTTCTCGCCATAAAGTTATAATAACTAAAGAAATTTTATTTTATTTTGTTTTGTTCATAAATAAATAAAACCAATTGATTTTATTTATTTTCATCGACCACTTTTTGGATTTTTTCTCCGGTCTACGTTAGAGGAAATAATATTATTCTGTATCTTTTTATTTATTTTAAATTCCTAATCTCTTTTAGACTTTTATATTTTAAAAATTTTATACATGTAGTACTAAACGACAAAAATCCAAACACCATAAATGGCCCTCGTAACCTGCTCTACGAAAAATTTCAACTTTTGCTCACTTCTTCTTTATCTAAGTTTGCTCCTCACCAAAAACACAATTTCTCCTTTTGTTGATTTTTCTTTTCAATCAGAATTTTCTATATACATAAGATCATTTGAAGAAAAGATATGATAAGCAAGAATCCAAGATCGAGTTTACCACCAGGGTTTCGATTTCATCCAACAGATGAAGAACTCATTCTCCATTACCTAAGGAAAAAGGTTTCCTCTTCACCGGTCCCCCTTTCGGTCATTGCCGATGTCGATATCTATAAATTCGATCCTTGGGATTTACCAGGTAAATTAATTAAATTAACCATTATATTTATATGTCCATGTATATATATTTCATTTTAATTAGTGCTTAATTACTCATAATTAACATATGCATGTTGTTTGATTTATATCAGCCAAGGCTCCGTTTGGAGAGAAAGAGTGGTATTTTTTCAGTCCGAGGGATAGAAAATATCCAAACGGAGCAAGACCAAACAGAGCAGCCGCGTCTGGATATTGGAAAGCAACGGGAACAGATAAATTAATCGTGGTACCAAATGGTGAAGGATTTAATGAAAACATTGGTATTAAAAAAGCTCTTGTGTTTTATAGAGGAAAACCTCCGAAAGGTGTTAAAACCAATTGGATCATGCATGAATATCGACTTGCCGAATCCTTATCGCCCAAAAGATTGTGCCATTCTAGGACCGGCATCCAAGTCAATAATTCGGGAGATAGGAATTTGAAATCTAAAGAATATTCCATGAGGGTAAGATTTTACAATTAACACTTAAAATTAATTTCTTGGTGATTTTGATTTAGTTAAGTGGAAAAAAAAATGAAGGGACATATATCGGATATATATAAACCATTTTGTTGATAAACACTTGCGTTGATTGATTTATAATTTTGCCCCAATATACTTAAGGATTTTTATGTTTTTATTCTCTTGCAGCTGGATGATTGGGTTCTTTGCCGGATTTACAAGAAATCACACGCTTCATTGTCATCACCAGATGTTGCTTCGGCTACAAGCGATCAAGAAAACGAGGAAAATGACAACGAGCCATTCCTAGTCAGCGAAACCCTTTTGCCAAATTTGGCAAACGATCAAACCCTTAAACGCCAGAAGTCTTCTTTCTCCAACTTATTAGACGCTACAGATTTGACGTTCCTCACAAATTTTCTAAACGAAACTCCCGAAAATCGTACTGAATCAGAGTTTTCTTTCATGTTTGAAAATTTCTCAAAACCTGACATCTACGGAAACCGTTACTTGGATCAAAAGCTACCCCAATTGAGCTCTCCTACTTCGGAGACAAGCGTTATCGGAAACAAAAGAGAAAGACTGGATTTTGCGGAAGAAACGATGAACACTTCGAAGAGGATGATCAACAACTTTAGTTACAATAACAGTATAGGTCATTTGGATCATAGTATGGTTCAACAATCTAGTTTTCTGAATCAAGAATTCTTGATGAGTCCTCACCTTCAATATCAAGGCTAGAGAGGATATTGTTTTCAAAACCTAATTACGCGAATTAGGGACCATTTGATATATGATTGAAAAGTAGGAGTCATTATTATTATATAAAATTACCAAAGCATTGTGGGGGAAAGGGGAAAATATATAAAGTAGTAGTAGTTGATATTTGATCATATAAATTACAAGCTTATATTGATATAGTGTTTTTTTGCAGTTCCGTTAGGAGGTAACTATATAATAATCTTGGTTCCATCTCTCTTCTTCTCATCCGTCGACAATTCTGATATATGCATACATATTTACATATTTGGCCACGCATGTTGAGCATGAATATAGCTAATTTCTTAAAACATTTATTGAATACATATTTAGTCTCTGTAACATCGTTTTCACAAGTCCTATTAATTAAAAGGTTTTGTCCTCGTCCCTACACATATCTTTGCGGTATCTCGTAACTCCACGTGTAAATGAAACCCAATTATTCTTTCTTTCATTGCCCTTGAAAGATCATCTCCATAATTACTTGCACACAACCAATTGGTGAATCATCATCATTTATATTCGGTTCTTTATAATAACAACAACAACAATAATTATAATAATAATAATAATAACAATAATAATAATAATAATAATAATAATACTAATAATAATAATAATAGTAAGATAGACTTAGTTATTTATATTAAATTCTTAAAAACTGATTTATAATTTAATGAAATCAAGATTACAAAGTATAACGTGAGCATTACAGACGTAAGCATTTGAAAGAAAAGAAAAAACATGCGTTTTAGTCGTCTAACGAACCGATAATTAATTAAATCTACATATCTTTGTCCGCTTGAGGATCTAAACACTTGTAATTCATTGTTTTTTTTTTCAAAGTTTCCAATTCACATGTTTTGTTAAAAAGTATTCCTACAAAATCCCACAATTTCTTCGGCGATCTTATTAATCAGAATGTATTACAAGAGCACTATATTTCTAAAGGTAAAGACATTAGTTCGGACAAGAACCGTCCTCCCAGTTGTGAACTTATCATTCACATAAGCGTCGTAGATATTATTCTAATAGAAATATTTATACATCGGTGAAGGCAATTCATAAGGTGACAATCATATGCATCTTCCCATTTACAAATGAGAATTGGATGATGTCTTGATTTTGGAAGTATGATTGGAAAAGAAAACTCTTATCTTTTTTTTTTTTTTTTTTAAAAATTTACTTAAAAACAAAAATTAATCGACACCAAATGATGTCATATTCCAAGTGAAAATCTATGTTTCTATTGGCACGGTGATGGGTCTATGAGATATTCGGATCCTCTTTGGGATGTATCATTAATTTTATGTTGGACATATAAAGGGTATCATTAGAGTTCAGTAGTTAAGATAAATAATGAGCCAAACTCCCATATTCTCGTTCACATAAGCAGATTCTCTTACTTGTGTCACAGCAATTGCAAATCAGAAATCATCTGTAATCAACACATACACACACACACACACAATTTCTGTCTGACGATGACCGGATGCAAAGCTACAAGATACGGTTAGAATTTTCTTGCATGCAGACACCAAATCATCTAGTTATGATATAAATTTCCTCAAGCCTCTCTCGTGCCTGAAAGTGAAAAACACAACAAAGATAATGAAAATGAAATAATAACAAAGGTCACAGTGTCATTCAAGTGCTTATTGATTTTGTTTTTACCTCTTCCAAACTAGGTGCATTTTTTCAGTCGATTGTGATAGATGGTAATAATTTTCCAGTAAGATTGTATTTCAAGAATTTATGTGTTTGGTGCTCATGACGACTCTTTTCCGATATAATAATTGGTTTATTTCATACGTAGCACTGTTATCAGGCGCCCATTCTTATGTCTTAATTACAATTCAATATTGGAATTAATGAAGTACATGCTTTGATAACCTCCACCTTTATAAATGTACAATCTTACTAGAGAAAGTTAAGAAGAAACCAAACGAGTCCTCCTTAAAGAATGTTCTCGATCAAGAGGTCTAAAGTTGCATGTGGCATTGCAAAATTGCTGGATACACTGGACCAAAATCAACGCTACCAAACTAGTACTGGAAGTCATTGGATTTGGCCTTGTGTATTTAGTTATTTAGGCCAAAACAGTAGCTTTTGATGAAATGAGTCTTTAACTTTACGAAATATTAGAGTGAAAAATGGAGAAAATGAGATATATAGTTCGTGAGTAATTGATAGGGAAAGACGAAAGAATTAAAATAATTTCGTCTGATTTAATTAAAAATGTTTTTTATACGTGGTAAAATCTGACTAACTGACTAATACGTGTCGTGATTATATTGATTACAAAGTAAACATATCAAACTTTAGATAATAAGATAAGTACAAAGTAAACATATCAAACTTTAGTGCTCATATTAGGCCAATCATTTAGATTCTTAGCAATAATATATAATACTAAAATCCTAAATTGTTGCAGCGGCAACTGAAAGAACCTCTCTTAGAAGAAACAAATAATGGAAGTCTATATTTTATATTTAGCTATATTGTACTATATAATTATAATAATAAGTCGACCCACTTGATTCCAAAGCCTACACTACTATCTAAATTAATATTAGTGGGATTGACTTATAAGTTTTCCAATACACACATAAATATCAAACATTTAAAATAATACATTTGTGTGTGTAACTGTTTATATATATACGCATGAATGAGAAGTAGTGGTGGTAGCCATGACTTTGAGCAAGGTTGAATGACATCATCACTACAACACTATGCTATACATATTTATTTCCTGACAATATTATATATCTAGGTGTCAAGTATGTATATATGTATATAGGTGTCAATCCTGTAACAAATTGCATGCCATTGAATTTACACATACCTTCTCAGTTGCAAGATCTTTGATTTTCAATTACTATTCTACTATTTTCTTAGATAGCTAGTGTTTATGCATAATGTTATTGTTATGAGGATGCATATTTTGGAAGTGTGAAAAATTATATATTGATCTGTGTGTCATTGTTAAATATGATCCGTCAATATTTATATTGAAAAATAATAATCTACCAACAATCAAAATATCAATGTCTATTGTTTCTCAATGGGGTTCGGATCGGCGGGGCGTTGAATTAATTTTGGAGATATTCTTTGGTAAGGATTAAGGAGCTTCCGAAGAATAATAATTGGACCGACACACAACTATTAGCTCAAATACCAAAATTACAGTTTAATTACTTCTTTTACTATCGCATGTCTTTATGTTATTTATGTTCTCATGCTTTTTCGTGTAATCTGGTATTTCCATCAAATGGATCAGAACTACGTCGATGAGGAAAAGTGAGTCGGTATCGAATATCGATAGTCGTTAGTTAAAGAGGCCTGGGCTCTGGGTCCACATGACCCAATAAGGAAGAGGTGGTGATGTCATAATCTACGTCAGAAGCAGTCACCAAATGTTGCGGCTCCTTGGCTTGTAAGTCTTTGCCTTTGGAAGCAAAAGTCAACCTTCTTAAGCTACGCCCGCATACATTTTATAACCTACTCCGTATTCTTATTCTGTTTTCTGGGGTCCACGCGCCAATTCATATACTGTATTCCGAATTTATACATTCTTTTATTTCTTGAAAATAATTTATATACAAGAGAAATTTCGAAGAAAAGAAAAAAAAATCATAAGGACAGTACATATTTATTATTATCATTTTCCCTAAATAATTCCCACAACTTGCGGTCGACATAATATCATTGTATATCATATTATGGGGATGGCTTATTCTTATCCAGTTTCCATTATCTATTGATGCATTTACAATAACAAAGATAGTTCGGGGTCGAAGGTATTACTGGATAGATTCTTACAAACAATTTTCTCACCGTTTTATAAAAGTTTATTACTTTGGATTTTTAGTAAAATTATATACTGTTAGATCCAGTAGATATGATATCTTGGTGCTTACTCGTAAGTTGGTCAATAAAACGAACAGCCAAAAGAAATAAAGCCAGATTGCCTTAATTAATAATTAGTGTCAACCAGGAGTTAATTGTTTTGAAATTGACGAATTCAGTCGGTGATTTGTTTGCGAGTAGTTGACTAAAGACTTTTTAGTTATTGACTAAAGACTTTTTAAGTTTTTACTACTCCTGTTAATTTGATGTCAGGAATCGAGGTAGTACTTAAATTACATTTGATTTGATCGAATAACATGTCAATCTTCCTAGAGAAGATGACGAGCTCGAAACCGTAACAAAAGCATGCATGTGCTAATATGCATGCAGTACAGCAGTAAATCTATGCGAAGGTAATTAATATAGTGGTGAATAGAGAGACAATTAGTCAGTTAAGTTAGTTGGAAATTAGGTTTCCTATCGTTAAAACTTTTCAAAGAAAGCACCCAAAGACCATTTTTTTATTTCAAAAAACAATTTAGTATTTTCGCATCATATATACGAAAACCAACTGGAGTATTATTTTATTTATTTTTAACAAAAAACAACTACTCAACTAGTATTGTCTCTCATCATATCACGAAATTTTGTAGTATATTCGTCAATAAGCATGTTCCATTCATAGTTTCGTATTGATTTACTTAGTTGCATATGTAAGAGCAAATATATATATGGTTTTTTTTTCTTTCTAAAATCCTTGTCAATTTTTCATTTGTTTTTTTGCAAAATCAATCTTCATCGAAAATAATACAATGAAATCAACTTATTTATATGTTCGTAAATAAAACAAACCCAAACCAAATCATAATCTGAATTGAACACTCATATCTATGTACTTTTTTGTTAAAGCGTTTTCTATTGGTCATATCATATCTACTTACTATAGTTTTCTATTCATGTGATCGATGTATTCAATTCTTCTCGTATATAATTTTTTAAAAAAACTGAAACTTAACATTTTGTTTAATAATACGAACATTTACATACAATTTTATATGATGTGTTCTAGAAAAAAGTAGCCTTTTTTAAGGATTTTCTTAGGGATTCCTTTGAGTAGGATATAATATATCATCAGTAATCAAACTAAAAAGGAACATTTTCACTAATACGGGTCCACAAAACACACTGAGAAGGCAGCCTTATAACACTTTTGAGTGGTATACTTTCCTCCAAACGTTTTCTTTCCCACGACTCTTTATTTTCTTTCCAAAAGGGGTTTTGTTTTCTCAAAAGGTAGATAGATGTAGGTCATGCGGCAATGGAGGCCATTTTTTTGGTGGATGTCAAAGGAAGCCATATAAGATGACTATAATGATATGGTCATATGAAATGTAGGAAAACAAATGAAAAGGAAACATAGTTCTCTGTTTTTTGTTTGGTGCAACAAAATAGTTCTCTCTGTTAACCATAAAATTATTCTACAGACGTGTCACCAGATTGATTGTATCCAAGTTTATTTTGCAACTAGAGTTAATGGTAGGGTCTAGAATCCAAAATATGAAATAAATTATAATTGTAATATGTAGTAGTAATTACCGTTATTAATAATATCAATCACCCTAATCTTCACACAAATATCATTCAAGATATTTAAGCGATTTCTAATGTGGGGCTTTTTCAACAATTCAGGAAGTTGCTTAGAGCTTACGTGTCTTTGCTACATCACCAAAAAAAGAAGAAGAAATAAATAATCAAGAAAAGAGAACAAAAAACAATTCTTGATTTTTTTTTTTCCTTTCTCTTTCATAACTCTATCTTCCGCTACATATATATAAATATATACAAGCCAAATTTTCTACATTTTCATTTCCTTTAACTGCTAAGTTCATCCTCAAATTTCTCCAACCTTTGCTTCTCTTTGTTTCTTTCTTCAACCTCTTTCTTTCTTCTTCACCGCCGACGTGTGCCTGTAATAAACACATATACCTCGATCGATCCTCCTCCTCCTCAAAAAATTTCCTGTTTTTTTTTCTTGAAATCTATCAAGAATTTTCTTCAGCTTTCTTTTTCTTGATTAATAAAACGTATATAGATGGTGGAAGAAGGAGGAGTAGTTGTGAATCAAGGAGGAGATCAGGAGGTGGTTGATTTGCCTCCGGGGTTTCGGTTTCATCCAACTGATGAAGAGATCATAACTCACTACCTTAAAGAAAAGGTCTTCAACGTCCGATTCACCGCGGCTGCAATTGGTCAAGCCGACCTCAACAAGAACGAGCCTTGGGATCTACCAAGTAAGTCAAGTCAATTATATCTTGTTTATAATTTTGACCGTTTCAAAATCATCGTCAAGATTCTGATTCTTGATTTGAGTGCAGAGATTGCAAAGATGGGGGAGAAGGAGTTTTACTTCTTTTGTCAGAGGGATAGGAAGTACCCGACCGGGATGAGGACGAACCGTGCCACCGCGTCCGGTTATTGGAAGGCGACCGGGAAGGACAAGGAGATCTTTAGAGGCAAAGGTTGTCTTGTTGGGATGAAGAAAACACTTGTGTTCTATAGAGGAAGAGCTCCAAAAGGTGAAAAGACCAATTGGGTTATGCATGAGTATCGTCTTGATGGCAAATATTCTTATCACAATCTCCCTAAATCCGCAAGGGTATGTCAAAGTTGTCAATATTTTTACACTATGAATTTGATTTAAATCAGTTTTTCTTAGAAATTTTGTTAGAAATTAAGATCGGACTTTGATGCATACAAAATGTGTGTTGGTGTGGAAATGTTTATCTTATGAATATTTATATTAGTTCAAGAGTAATCCAAAACATAAAATCTAGTTAAGAACTTTATTAGTTAGGAATCTTTAATTAACTAAACTTTTTTTTGCTGCGTTATAGGATGAATGGGTGGTGAGTAGGGTTTTTCACAAGAATGCTCCTCCTCCTACGACAACTTCTACAAATCAACTCATAAGGATTGATTCTCTTGAAAACATTGATCATCTCTTAAACTTCTCATCTCTCCCTCCTCTCATCGATCCGGGTTTCTTGGGTCAACCCGGCCCAAGCTTCTCCGGTGCCGGCCAACAACACGACCTCAAACCCATTCTCCATCACCCTACAACCGGCCCGATCGACAACACTTACCTCTCTGGCCAATCCCTAATCACTTACCCTTACCACTCGGTCCAAAATAATAACAATGGAATGATCAAGTTGGAGCATTCTCTTGTGAGTGTGTCTCAAGAAACCGGTTTAAGTTCCGATGTGAACACAACTGCGACGCAGGAGATATCTTCGTATCAAAAGATGGTGTATCCCGCGGCCAATGCGGTGATGATGGATGGTAAGAAGACGTCGTATGATGATCTTGATGACTTGGGGATCTTTTGGGACGACTACTAACTAATTTGAAGGTTATTATCTTATTAATTGTGGATCTGTGAGAGTGGCATTGATTACTTTGTATATATCCATAAGCATATTAGGTTTTCTAAGGCAAATGAACTCTAGTTAGACGATTGTTTAGACTTTACGTAGTTTTTAGTTTGGGAGAAAAGGCTTGGTACGTAATTTCAATTATTTTTCTTTGTGATTAACTTGTACATATATATAATTCGTATGATTAATTCATTTCAAGTAATATGTAATGTAAAGTTTATACGTTTTAATGTAACGTCTGAAAAAATGATATACATTATAGTGAATTCGATGTGAAGAAAAAATCTAGAAGATAAGGGCGTGAAGAAAATGGGAAGAAGAAGAGGAAACGATTTACCCCTTTTTCTAAAAACAACAAGAAGAGGAAAAGAAAGTGGCGGCGTGTAGCATAGATTGAATGGCCGAGAAAGGCAGGTCTTTTTAAGAAGGACGAGTCCCGTTTTGGAGTTTTTAAGTGGCAGTGGTATATATCACGAAACTAGTTTTTTGGAGACTTGACCAAAATCACTATACTGAATTGAAGTTGAACCGTGAACCAATATTTTAAACCTCCCGAAAAAGTTACTTAACCTTTTTATATTATTTTTTTTCCATAATCCACATTTTTATATGAGTTTCCCATATTCCACAAAAATTCAAGAACCAATAATATTATAGATTCGTAATCTCATCAATTATGAAAAATGTCAAAAGCTTGAAATAATGCGACCAAAAAATAGTGTCAAAATAGAGAGAAAACAAAAAAGAAAGAAATTTCTTAGACTCTAATTTTGACCCCACAAAAATTGAAACTTCAAAATTGACCCCCTACTACTCCACGGTGATGATATTCAGAACAGAGGAAGAAGCATCGATGTATTGCAACAAGACAATCGAATCTCCAGCCTTACAGATTTTCTTCTCCTTTGCGACTTGGATCGCTACTCTACTAGTCTCCTCCGTCGAACCCTTTTTCGCCACCACCGGAATGATTCCACGGTAAACCAAGCCACGTCTCGCCACCGATCCAGGGCACGAATCGTCGTCTTCCGGCACACTAACCGACAGAATCGGAACGCTCGGCCTGTACTTCGCCACAAGCCCCGCCGTGTAACCGCCCTTGGTGACGACCACAATCGCCTTGGCGCTCTGAATCCAGGCCAGAGAGACGGCTGCAGCGGCTAAGCCCTCGATTCTCGACAACGGCAACGGAACGGCTCTGTGGATTTTCATCTGCGCATCTTCGTAATCGATGCTATCCTCTGCCACCTTACAGATTCTTGACATGATCTGCACGGCGGCTTCAGGGTGGGCTCCGGCGGCGGTTTCTCCGCTGAGCATGACGCAATCGGTGCCGTCGAGGACAGCATTGGCAACGTCTGTGGCTTCTGCTCTTGTCGGAAGAGGAGATTTTGTCATCGACTCGAGCATCTGTGTGGCTGTGACCACTGGTTTCCCGAGTGCATTAGCCTTCTCGATCATCATCTTCTGTGCTTGAAATATCCTCTCTATCGGAATCTCCATTCCCAAATCTCCTCTAGCCACCATGAATGCATCAGATTTCTTCAGAATCTCGTCGAAATTCCTCACCCCTTCTTGATTCTCAACCTGTTAAGTCATTATCAACACAATGTGTAAGTACATAACCAAGAAATCAGATTTCAATGAATAAGAAAAAAAGAAAGTATTCACCTTTGACATAAGCATGATGCTCTTTGCGTGCGTTCCAAGCAATTTCCTGACCTCGTCGAGATCGGAGCCTTTACGAACAAAGGAAAGAGCGATGATATCAATCTTATTCGGAACTCCCCATTGCAGGATATCGACTTGATCCTTCTCTGTGAGTGTCGGGAGATCAACTACAACTCCAGGGAGATTGACGTTCTTTCTTTCACCAAGAGTGGCAGAGTTCTGGCACCGGCAACGAACAAGACCGAGATTCTTGTCGCAGGACAAGACGGTTAGAGAAATTGTTCCGTCGGAACAGAGAATCATGTCCCCTGACTTGAGATCCTCTGCAAGTTTCCCGTAGCTCATCGAGATTGTGTTTGAATCTCCTTCCAAGGTGTAATCTGTTGAGATTGTGATCTCTTGACCTTGAGTTAGCTGAACCGGTTTTCCTTCTTTCAGAATTCCGGTTCGGATCTCAGGACCCTACACAAAAAAAAAAAACAAATTCAATCGAGTTAAGTTAAATCCTTGAACGAATATTATTAGGTCACATAAAGAGTTTGCTGATGAATTAGGGTTACCTTTGTGTCGAGCATGACGGCACAGTAGATACCAGTGTTCTCTACGGCGGTTCTGAGGTTATCGAGAGTTTCTTGGTGGTAAGCGTGAGTACCATGGGAGAAATTGAACCGGGCTACGTTCATACCGGCTTTGAGAAGCATCTCGATCATCTCAACAGATCTAGACGCCGGTCCAAGAGTACACACGATCTTCGTCTTCTTTAGGGCTCCATTAGTTTGTCCATCAAGTAAAATCTCCATTGTCGAACAACTTGAAATTAAAGGGCCAGGCATGTTTCACAGTTTTTTTTTTTTTTAAGAAGGTGAGAGATTGAGAGCTCGTGAAAAGGTTATGATGATTTATGATTAGAGTCTGCCCGTCTACGTCTGTTTATATAGGAGTTTGTTTAGAACTTGGAGAGAAATAATTTCCTTTTCCACATTATAGATCGGAAAAGGAAAATAAAGAATTTCCATTTATGCTTTGTAATAATGCCTAATAACAATTTTAAATCAAAACTGGAAAGGAAAAGGAAATAGATTTATTGAATTCTTGTGTATCAAGTAACGACAGTTATAAAAGAGCATCGGACAAATTGTTATATTTGTTTCATTACTCCATGGTTTGAAAATAGGAAATTTCGATTTTCCATTCAAATTAAAGCTGAAAATCAAAGAAAAGGAAATTTTTTCTTCTGGACATTTAATGATGTTCTTGTATCTCAAGAATGACAGAATTAAACCGTCAAAAAGAGATTATGAAACAAAAGGAAAAACAAGCAAATTTGATTAGCTTCGTATTAAATAAAGCATAGGGAATAAAAACTCGAAAGTCCAATACTAAGACCATTGACATTTTTACTACAATAAAGTCATAATTTCGTGTTTAGTACTAAGAAACTTTTTGTGTTGAAGAAGAAAAAAAAAAGAATCTTTATAGTTTATACACAGAGGGAAAGAGGAAAAGTAGATTACAAAGGAGAAATGCTAGAGGATTTGTGCATTTTGTTCTTCTCTTGTTTTTTTCGGTGGCTGAGATGAATGAACAATCGCATGGTACGACGACGAGGCAAGCTGGGCCAAAGCCGGTACAGCGCCACCTGCAAAACCATTTCCGCATTAACACCAAATACATAACTAAAAAGACCAGCAAAGTCAGACATCTACTACTTTCACTAGCTGAAAAGTTTGAAGATTGGCAAAGAAAAGGAGGATGAAGATGATCTTTTTAAACCTGCAAGTCCAGCACAAGCTGATGAAACAACTATCACCGGTGGAGCCTGCAAAGCCAAACATCAAATACAAGCATCACGGAATCTACTTATGTAATAAGCAGAGATATTAAACAAAAATAATTGCTGACTACTTACACCAACAAGAAAATGCAACCACATAGGTCCTTTTACCCACTTGCGTACAACCGGCATAACTGTATTCAATAATCAACAGCAACACTGTTTAACGCAATGAAGCCAAAGAGAGATGTTCTGAATCTTTTTCAAACAAATTCTCAAAAGTTGGAAAATCCATTCACCTATTCAGACATAGGTAAAATATACCAACAAAAAGAATCTCCATTGTTTCAACTTAAGCCACACAATTAGAGCATCACATTCACCTAGATCTTTCCTTTTAACACGATTGCTTAATAACCAAAAAATCGAAGTTCCGGAAACTTGCGTTCATTTTACCCTATAAGTCATTAAATTTCAGCACACTCTAAACGATCTCTCTTTCTCCAATACACCCTATGTTGATTAGAGGCAGACACAAACAACTGACCCCAATTGCAGAAATTCTCAAAAAGGCATAACTCCACAAGAGGATACCAACTCAAACAAATTAATCAATGAGAGATTAAAGACATACCGTGGTTAAATCCAATGAAAGCACTTGAAGTACCACCTACGGCTGATCCAATCTATGACAAATAACAAATCACCCTTAAAACATAAATGACTAGTAAAGTAGTAATCAATTTGATCCAAAACAAAAACATCAACAGAATCGAAAGTTCGGATCGCGCAAGGCACAAACTTTTTTGAATAACTTTTATCAGTAAGTTAGGTTTAGTCCGAAAGTGTCGAAATTGGCACCAAATTACAAAAGTTTCATCAAAAGACATCAATTTGTTTTGTTTTTGTTTTTTTTCGAAATTGAAATGAACTTACCATAGAGAAGCTATCCCTGATGAACGGAGCCACAGTCCATTCATTAGTTTCCTGGAAATCAATCAGTAACCAATAAATAAATTCACTAAACTCAAGAACAGAATTATCAATCAGTGTGTGATAAACTGCGGTAAATACCAGGTTTTTCGTAAGAGGGCCTGCGCAGTGATGACATCTGGTTCCGATCTCTTTCCCTGAATCCTTCATTGTTTCCAACATGAGAAACCCCAACGAGATTTCTTCTGTTTTGGGTATCTTCTTCTCTTCGTAAGGTTTCAACTTTCTTACTATACAGTTCGTCTTCTCCTCTGTTCGACAACACAGCACGGTCCACGCATCATCTGCGGCTGAGTCTAGTTTTGTTTTACAGTCACCCAATCAATTACATCCACGTCTTTAATGTCGACCCTTACATAGACCGGACCGGTCCAATCGTTTAGTGACCATAGTCCGGTCAGGTTCGTTTTACGATTTTGAGATTTCAAGTTATTTTTCCTTTTTCTTTTTTTGGTCAACATTTTTCCTTTCTTTATTCAATTAAACCCCTATGTTCACGTGAAAATTGATACGATGTAAAGTTTTATGAACACACACATAATTACAATTTTCAAAAAGTTCAAATTTTTTTTGCTTAACCAAGTTATCTTTGGAATCTTTCTTCCCAATGTTCCATAGAGTTAAAAGAGAGAAAGTAAACGAACAAAAGAAGAATGTATAACCGGAATTAAGAAAGAAAAAAAAGGAATAAATAATAATAAATACAAAACACTCGCTGGCTCGCAGCTAAAAATATGTATTACCAATTTACCATGAATTGGTTCAATTCAATTTGGATACATAAGCCACGATGAAAAATGATTCAATGAAAAATGAACACCGTAATGAGGTCCAGTGCAATGATTTTAGATACATAGGTGGTAAGCCACGATGAACAAACAGAGAAAGAGGCTAATCTTCTTTTAGTTAGTGATGTTAACAAGTAATGAAACAAGACTAGCTATAAGTGGAAAGAAAACGAACCGCGAATAGATTTTTTGTGTTCGTTTTCTATTTTTTTTTATTATTGGGTTAAGATGAATAACAAAGATTCTTGACTTGAGAATGCGACTCACCTTTTTAATTTTTTTCTTCGGAGTTTCTGATTCTAATTCTGCAGAATCTCAGGAAGAGAACCCACTTTCTGTTTTCCTCCATTTAATTATCGTTCCTAAGCAAAAGAATATAATTCCGTGAGTATTTTCCCGGCGAATGTAGCCCACGTGTTGAAGTATGCTCCCTACGCGAGAGCTTCAAAGCATCACTAAGAATAAAGTTAGTCGTGAACAAGAACAAGAATCTCTTAAATGAACGTACAATGAAGAACATTTAGTCTCTATCACTCTCTCTCTTAATTTTCACTTTCAACAGTGACTTTTCAAATAGGTAAAAGAAACAAAACAGAGAGTTTAACTATTACGATCAAAACTAGTCTACAAAATTTTAAATCTTCTTGAGCAACATTTTGTAGTGAACTCAAAATATGACCTGCAGTGGACAAAAGTGACATAATTCAAGAATTATCTATTTATTCTGAAAATCCTCTGATTGGATTCTCAATTAATTCTCTCGATAACCTTTAAAAAAGCTGTAATTTAACATAAACTTTGGTAAAAAAAAAGAAGAAAGAAAGAATCCTCTTATGAGAAGAGTGAGTTTGATGAGATTCATTCAAGTAGACTTTTAGAGACTTGCAACACACAACATGAAAGCATATTCTCACCCACATGGAGATGAACTATTTTGGTAATATGCTCCAATACTTTTAACTGAAGGTTATGATAGGTTCTTCCTTCCCCAAAAACCGAATAAATTGTATTGAGAAATCACAACCATGAGATTTCATATCGCCTATAAAGTTTGGTTCGGTATATATTAAATGCAAAGATATCATTCAAGGAACATAATATTTGTTTTTTCTCGACCTTTTCCTTTATGAACAATATAGACCATATCAAAGCACTCATTAAGCTAATGTGGGGCTCAAAACTGGATATATTCTCAGTTACACGTAGACTAGTAGTAGCCCACACAACCTCTATATATCTTTCTCTATGACCTTATTCTATTAATTGAGGATGCGATGGTAATATACTAATATGCATGCACGCAGAAACTATTTGAAAACTCAAGAACTGAAGAAATCATTGAAACTAGTTGCAGGAAAGTATATATAGAGTAAGAAAGTAGCCAATCAATAGATGTAGAGATGTTTCACTTGAATCACTTCTATCTATATATTAATATGAACATATAAACACACACACATGCACCGGAGAGATAACTGTGATTAGATCAGATCAGACAGGAAAGGATATAAACGTAGTAAAACACAGGCATAGACGGGCAAAATGTTTTGTGCTAATCAAAGAATTTTAAGAAAAATGGGACCCTCCAGTAATTTTAAACTGTGTAGAGAGAATAGGTACTAAACTTGTTGAAGGAGACAGTATGAAAATATTCCTTATCATCTTTTAAAGCGAAACAAGCTTTCTAACAAAAATTTATCATTTGTTTGCTATCTTAAACTAAAGGCTTCTTTGGTCGACTGTCAAATTATATTCTTGAAATATAACCGGATAAGCCCTTTTTAACATCAGTAACAGCTGACTAAAAGTCTTGATAAAATCATTAATTAGACTCATAATGTACCTAGAGACCGAAAATGACTAGATGAAGGAGGAACAAATAACAATCTACACAAATGAAAAGCATTGAGAATATTCCAAGAGAGATAGAAGTAAGACCTGTGACTATGAAAAATATCAACGAATAAGAAAAGAGTGGATGATTCTCACAGCACAAGTTTATAACCAAAAAAAAAAAAAGTTAGGAAAAAATCGGGGAATAAGATACTTCCCTGCCAGAATGGCGAAAGAAGGCGCATATGATGCATTAATTGTGGATCAATTCTGGTATCCAATTTGGTTGAAAAGTTGTAGTCCATAGGAATCAATGCATGGAGAAAGAAAAAAATCATCTAGAAACAAAAACATAACAGTTCAAACGAAAAGAACAATAAAGCATCGACTGGACCAGTTATTCATATTCCATACCTTAATAATCGTTCTTTAATTCACCCCTTTTTCTCCATTCAACTTCCTATATAAAGCAAAGTTGCACCAAACCAACCTGAGAAAATATAAAGAACAAGTAAGAAAAAGAAGCAAAAACATCTTCCTTAGTACAGTACTACTCTCAACTTTCTGAGAGAAGCAGTTTTGATATAAGAACTAAGATCGCGTCAGGTAAAAGAAAAAATCGATCATGACAGATCAATATTTAATGCATTTTCCAGGTGGGGGTGTGATAAACTTACATTTTGCCTTTTCATGAACAGTCTTTATGTATTACCAAAACCATCACCAAGGAAAGAACATCCTCTCTTCTTCAAGAATGCACTTAAATTCTGAAAGGCATCCTTTCCTTAGAGGAGGGAACAGTCCAGGAGATTCAGGACTCATTCTTTCAACAGATGCAAAGCCACGCTTAAAATGGACTCCAGATCTTCATGAGAGATTCATTGAGGCAGTGAATCAACTCGGTGGAGCAGATAGTGAGTTATATCCTTAGCAAGACAATTAATCATCGCTTTTGACTAGCAGCCTTTTAGATATATAATAATATTGTATACTTTGTTTTTATGTTCTGTTGCAGAAGCTACTCCTAAAACAATTATGAAAGTCATGGGTATTCCAGGCCTTACCTTATACCATCTCAAAAGCCATCTTCAGGTAAGCCATCAGCACTTGATACACATATGCTTTTCTTGGTACTTTTGTGGACATGGCTCGTTCATCAGTCGCGTTGCTGCAGAAACTGGAATGTTCTCACTTTTCTTATTTTTTGCATTCACAAAAGGTTATTAACATCATGTAATTGGCTAACAGAAATACAGGCTGAGCAAGAATCTTAACGGACAAGCTAACAGCGGCTTAAACAAAATAGGTAAATTTTATATTTTCATCAATCAGATTAACAGATACAAGAACATATAAGTTTTAGATTGTAACAAAAAGATCTAAACGACGTTACGTGACTCGGATAGGTGTGATGACCATGATGGAAGAAAAGACACCTGATGCAGACGAAATTCAAAGCGAGAGTTTAAGCATTGGACCACAGCCAAACAAGTAAGAATATAGAATATTTGTCTATATCATAGCTTATAACTTGTTATTATAGTTTATCAGAAAATGACCTAATCCATTTGCAACTAGGAACTCACCAATAAGTGAAGCACTGCAAATGCAAATAGAGGTCCAAAGAAGGCTTCATGAGCAACTTGAGGTATCATATTCGTACAACAATATTACTCTGATAAAATAAAGATTCTTCATGAAACATTTAGAATTAGCAGTCAGAGTTGATTTAGGAAAAAAGAATGATGGTTAACACATAATCAAAATCCTTAAGTGACCATCATGATTGCATTTCAAAGAGGATAAGATTGTAGAGTATCTAGAAAAAGCATTCAGTGTTAAAAATATCGTATTTAAACTGAGCCAGGTACAGCGACATTTGCAGCTCAGAATAGAGGCTCAAGGGAAGTACCTACAATCGGTTTTGGAGAAGGCACAAGAGACTCTTGGAAGACAGAACCTTGGTGCAGCCGGGCTCGAAGCTGCCAAAGTTCAAATCTCGGAATTAGTATCTAAAGTATCAGCAGATTACCCAAACTCTAGTCTCCTAGAACCAAAAGAGCTTCAAAACCTCCTGTGCGCACAACATATGCAAACAAGCTATCGACCTGATTGCTCCCTTGACAGCTGCCTGACCTCAAGCGAGGGAGCTCATGAGAAAAACCCGAAAACGCTAGAGAGCAACAGATCAGTAGGGCTAAGAACATACCTCGGCGATTCAACGTCCGAGCAGAAAGTGATAAACGAAGAACCATTGTTCCAACGGATGGAGCTCACGTGGACACAAGGTCTAAGAGGGAATCCATATCTTTCAACAATGGTAAGCGACGCGGAGCAAAGAATCTCGTATTCAGAGAGAAGTAGAAGTCCAGGTAGATTGTCAATAGGTGTAGGAATGCACGGACACAGAGGCCATCATCAACAAGGCAACAATGAGTGTAAAGACGAAAGTGAGGATCATAAGCTTGAAACCCGAAGCAAAACAACAGAGCTAGATCTTAACACAAATGTGGAAAACTATTGTACAACGCATCCCAAACAGTTTGACTTGAATGGTCTCAGCTGGAACTGAAATGGATTTAAGAGAGTTTCAATCATTCATATAGAAAGTGGAAACTTTGGAGGAAACCAAAAAAAGAAATCCTTTTTGGGAACTCCTCAATATATCCAAAGATATATCTTTAATATCAAGATTCTTGCACCGCACTATTCATTGTTTAATATCAATATATACAGAGAATTCCTTAACTCTCCATATAGACACTCAATTTTTTTTTTTTTAAATAAACTATTTTCACGAATTATAAACTCAACTCTTCATGAACAAATAAAAGCTCGTGTAGACGTTCATTTGTATTATGAATCTTTGTAGGGATGTTTGATAACAGAAGACTTGGAACAAACTCTCTGAGTAGAGAGGCAAGAGCTTTCTCTGGTGCTCTGCGTTAATGTCTGGTCTTTCTTGAGCATCAACACGAACAAACCTCATAGAAACGACACTTGTCATTTGTAAGTTTGGGAGATTGAAATAGTAAGTTTGATTTGTGACCGTTAGATCAATTGAAAGGTAACCGTTGGATTGTAATCTCACGGTAAGTTTGCTTTTGACCGTGGACTAGCTTTAATCGGAATAATCCCGTCCCTACATTTTCTTAAGTTTACGGTCAAACATTTTTTATTCACTTTTACTTCCATGTATTCATTTTCATCGAAATAATCCCACCTAATACTAATAGTAATGTAATTTTTTTTTTGTTTTTTCGCTCTACGAAAATTGATGACAATATCCGCTCTTTCTTCGACTCTGATCACAGCAGAAAGTTTGAGCTTTCGAGAAAGACGATGCAAAGGAACACATGGCTGCTCGGTTTGAGCAGAGATAAAGGCCGAGTTTGAAGGGAAACAAAGAGCTTCACGAATGATGACAAGTGTCGTTTCTATGAGGTTTGTTCGTGTTGATGCTCAAGAAAGACCAGACATTAACGCAGAGCACCAGAGAAAGCTCTTGCCTCTCTACTCAGAGAGTTTGTTCCAAGTCTTCTGTTATCAAACATCCCTACAAAGATTCATAATACAAATGAACGTCTACACGAGCTTTTATTTGTTCATGAAGAGTTGAGTTTATAATTCGTGAAAATAGTTCAAACTTACTAAACCCCTTTCAATTTTGCTTGTATTTTGCCAGATCGCGGTTTTTCGCGATTTTTTCGCGAGTGGACTATTATTTTATTAATATTTTTTCTTCCGTTGCGTTTTATTTGTAATTGGTTTGCCGTTTTGGTCTAAATTTAGTGAAAATAGTAGCATTGCTCCTAGCTCTACATTATTAACATCAATATATGTTATTTGCGTTTTGCTTGTTATGAGTTGTCGTTTTACTTTTTTAGAGGTGTCCGATAGAACCCGATGGCAACGACAGTGAGCTCCGAAAGAAGAAAATTACTCAGACGACGAATCTGAGTGATTGAAGCGACAAGTGAGCAAAGACTTGATATGGGTCTTTGAGTTCAGCTATCCGATCTCCATTTCAAAGCAAATTTGAGAACAAAGAACTTTAGGAGTGTGATGCGAGCTAAACAATCTCTGTGTGTATGTATTTGGTTGTTGCTGATTTTGAGACCTGGCCAGATTTTCATCATCATAATGCTGTTGCTGGACTGGCTCCGGTTCAGGTTTGTGTTTTATAGTTTAGGACGTTTTAGTGTCTCTAATCTTACTTTTGCAATCATGAGATGCTATAAGAGAGAATACACCAAACAGGGACACATACATGATCTCACAATGTATGTTTTTGTCACGCAGCAAGTACCCTTTCTTCGTCCTGGCCACATCTCAAAGACTCGCAGCCCAATTAATGCAGTTTTGATTACTTCTTACATTTTGGTGCAGGGAAAGGGTCTCCAGAACGTGGGTTAGATACAATAAACCTGGAGAGCCAAATGCTGTTCATGCTGTACTTAGTGACATTTACCAATTTTTCACTCAGGTTTGTTTCTATTAGCTCCTTTTCCCTTTAAGTTATTTCTTTCCCTTACTTCTTATTGGTTAATATAGTAATTAATTAGTAAGAAGACGTGATAATTGAGGCCTAATATTCTGCTGAGATGAGCATCAAGTTACTCTGGCTCTTATATGAAGTTGTGACCTCGATTTTTGGATTAGCGCATGTCATCTCTAGTTATGGCTTAGAGTGGAGATATGAAATTAGGAATGCAACACTGGACTCCTTTAATAAATTAAGACTAATGTCTGCCTCATTTGATAAATGTGGTCGTTTTTCATTATCAGCCTTAATTATCACATATAGAATCGGGGTAATCTACAAATAGATGGAAGAACTTTCATATTCTTATATTAAAGTGATTTTTTTTCCATTTGATAGATTCAGGCAAGAACAAGAGTGATAATAATATGTTTCGTTTTTTTTTGAATCGTGATTCTTGACAAAACAATTGAAAATCACAAACCAGTATGGTTAGTGAACTTGTTCACAACCTCTTGTTCCATTCCCACAAGCTGATGGCAAAATGCTTCAACGTCTTTCACCTCTTCTTCGAACTCAAACCTAAACTCTCTCCATTGATACTCATCTCCAGCTGCTTCTTCACTCGGTACCTTTCCCAACAAGTCGAAACCTTTCTTATCCACAGATACCATATAAGCATCCTAATTGCCAAGAAAAGAAACCGTAAGCGACCAAATGACGAATATATAGAGAATTAGAGATCCAACAACATCCATATAAGCTTTTTTTACCCTGGCGTTTATATCGAGATAGTATAAACAGAAAAGAATCAAAGCCCTTCTTCTCGATTCGTTCTTATTGATTCCATCCACAAGTTTTGTAGACCAAACCCCTGGAAATTGAAATCCAATGCAAAAAGCTTAAGATGAAGCAAACCAATATAATTTGATCCATACTACTTTGGAATCAATTGTCTTTAGTTCATTACCTAGAGGATCTGCTTTTGACAGTTCCAAAACCTTCAAGTCTATTTCTTTCTTGTCACCATTCGGGTCAATAAGCATACATGAGCTGAGAAGACAATCACAACTGATAAATAAATTCTCATCTTCTGTAATCATAAGACAACTTAGTAATCGTTTCTACTTCATTGTGCGGTTTTAAGCAAGATTCAATGAACAGAGAAATCTATCTTTAATTAAGAACCTAACTTTCTCAACAAAAAAAAAAGGAAAAACTGATAGATTAGTTAAGTTAAGCATAAATAGGATGTGTTGTACCTGGGAACAAACTTATAAATAACGTATTTCTCATTTCCACCATCGACCAGTGCTTTAAGACTCTCGCATCGGGAGGCATACATCTGGTTGGAAGAATTGAAGATACTGCAGACTGAGTTTGGGAAGTTGCTAATCGCTCGCATCTCTGTTTGTATAGCATCCTCGACATATTTATTCACCGCCTCAATCTTTTATCAAAAAGACAAGAATGATGAAGATAACAAAAGTCATGACTTTTCTTCAAATTGGAACTTCCATGTTTCTTACCCTTTTCTCTTTGACAGGGATGATTTCTCCGGTAATAGCAACCCGGTTCGGAAGCTGCAAAGAAAAGTTAGCCTCGTTTAAGTGAGAGTGATACAGATTCAAGAAAAAAGAACCAATCTAGAGAAGACAATGAATGCAGAGAAAAGAAAAACACACAAACCTTTCCTATTAACTTTAACAAAGGAGCAAGGGGACGAGGACACGGATGAGCAATAGAAAAGGATCCACGTTCATCAAACATTATGTTCTGCCAGAAAATGGAAAATTAGAAATTCATAGAGTAGACTTTTGAGCCAAACACATGTTAAAACCCTCTGAAAACGAAGCTAACTTGTTAAAACTTACGATTCAAAATAAGGTAACAGTAAGATAGAATGGAAGCTTACGACATTGTGCGGTTCGCTTTCTGGAACCCAGAGATAAGGCTTTCCACGTCTCAGCACGTACTTAACCTTTGATGTATGTATTATACTGAGAAAAACAGCCCAAAACACTCCAATTCAAAACACAATTTTGCAGAAACCCATCTGAATCAAAATCACAACTAGAAAAGCTTATTTCACACAATCTGAACTTGTATAGTATTTTCTATCCATGTTCTAAGCAAAAAAATTGGTGTTGTTCTTGTAAATACCCAACAAGTGATATCAAACTAGCGAAGATACGAAATTCTGAAAGTACCATGGAAATTTTTAGAAATTACCTTGCTTTATCTTCGGGTTTGATGGTATTTAGGTACCCTTGCCAGTTCGAAACGATTATAGTCTGCACAGGGAGAAGAAATCATCCTCAAATCGATACAAAGCAAGAACTTCAATTGCAGAAAAAAATAGTAAAGAGTGAGTCAAGGGAAGTGACTTTGCATTTCTCCGCTAGTGAAGAGAGATTGGCCTTGCTTCCTTTCATTGCGCACACCAAGTGTTCGAGGAAATGACACTTTGATCACTCCATAAGGTAACAGTGTTTTGTGTTTAGAACAGCTCCAAGGACCCATAAATGCTCGTAAAAATACCCAATAATAGCCCAGAAAATTAGGCTCATGAATAATATGCGAGTCTGATCATCACACCCTGGATTAGCTCGTCGAAACAGCTTCACTATAAAATCCGTATTAATTAATTATCTAATGCTCATATTTTCGTGTTTATCAGTGTTGAAAGATTTTTTGTTTTTTTTTTTTCGAATTTTCGCTCCATTATTATGTTTTTTGCTTGGTCATTAGAATTCTGATGCAACGCTATCAACAGTTCCGGTTGTTGCCTTGTTGGTCATAAGCATCTTCTTATGAATAAATATACTAATTATTTCTTTATATTCTAAAATGTTCATACAATCATATGCTAGTTATTATCATATGCTAGTATGAACAACGTAGAGTATAAACTAAAAATTAGTATTTAATATCTGTTACTGTATGATACTATGATTTATTCATGAAAAGGTGCTTATGACCAACCGGAATTAGTTTATATGCTATTGATAGGTGTTTTTATATTCATGTTTGTATAATGTGATATCAAAACAATAATCTTGATTGATCGTCATGAGTCATGACTTGTAGTATTTGGAAGTTTCTGGTATTTTAATTGGAAATTAATTTATATACATTATTGATTTTTTTTTTTCTAAAGTACATTTCTACATATTCGACCGTGAAAAATATAATCAAGCTATTTCTGTTGGAAAAAAAAAGAAAACAAACTGAATCTAATACTCGCCGATCTAACACTTCAAATCAAGACTACTTTAAAAAGTTAAAATGGTAAAGCCAGAATATGACATTATATATATATTTATTAAATTTTGTACGTCTATGTATTTTATGTTTATGTGATTCAATAATAATTTGATATTTTGCTGTACGTTTTATGATGTTTTTGGAGTACTACAATATTTTGTAAACTATATTGATTTGGTCAGAATTCAGATGGATTGAATGGACCTAACTAAGACGATCGATTTCGTAAACCATATAATTACGATAGCGATTTCAACCTGCCTTTTTAATATTTCTTTAATCGAGCGTGTGAACCTCCAACTAAGTTGACGTATTTTTGTAAATATATTATGCAATATTATTATTATTTTTGTCATTTTTAATGGCCGGTTACTATTTTAAAGGCCGGTTTTGTGTCTTACGACTCTGTTTCGCTTCTTCTTCTTCCTTCCTAGTCGCTGTCGCTCTGACCGATTTGATCTCTTCTTCCTTTCCCTCACTCAGATTTTTGTCAGCTTACAAAATTATTTTCTCATTATTTATTTAAATTCAGATCATCGAGCTACAACAGAAAAGAGAACCAGCAAGAATTATTATTTGTTTCTTCATTACAAAACCCCATTAGAATCTTTCAAAACTTTCCCGGGAAAATCAATCCAGAATCTCTTCTTTTCCAAAAAGCACAAAACTTTCCGGGAAAATTGATCCCCAGCTTTATATTCGTAATCAAGCTTCCAAAAACCAGAGGAAAGCCCGAAAATGAATCATCGACAGAAACAGAGTCCCATAACTAACTCCGCCGTTGTCTTCATCATCATCTCTGCCGTCTGTATTTTTTCCGGCGGCGTCTCTGCTCTGGGAGTTAACTGGGGAACAATGGCGAGTCATCAATTACCGCCGAAGACGGTGGTGCAGATGCTTAAAGACAACAATATAAAGAAAGTGAAGCTGTTCGATGCCGACACAAACACGATGGGAGCTCTCGCCGGCTCCGGCATCGAAGTGATGGTGGCGATCCCTAATGATCTGCTCAAAGCCATGGGGAGCTATCAAAGAGCAAAAGATTGGGTCCAAAGAAACGTCACCAGATTCAACTTTAACAACGGCGTTAAGATCAAGTAAGTTTTAAGTTAACTCTTTGTGTTTGTCATTTGTGATCGGTTTCACTGCATTATGTTTTTTTTTTCGTTGACAAAATATTTTTATAATCTTACAAGTTTTTCTAACAATTTTTTTGATGTTTGATAGATTGAAATTTTAATTTATTAATTCCACTCTTTTATGTAAACGTAACCATCAATTGATGATCACATCGTGTAAGTAAAATAAAAATAAAGTAAAAATTAAAAGTGTCCTGACACCAAAGTTTTTAGATAAAGGTCTACTGAAAATCAAAACTTTAGTAGTACACGTAATTTTATACAACATTCAAATAAAAATGATGACAAAAGAAATGTTGACCATATAATAAATGGAATTAAGAGGTCCATAATAGTCCGTTAAAAAGGAAAAAAGGTTCATAATACTCCTGAGCCGACCAGATTAGACAGACTGAGAGGAGCTCCAATCCTTCACACGTTGGTTTTGACTTTTGAGTGTTGATTACACGTTGGATAATCAAAAAGTTTGATCTCTTCTACTTATCTGTAAAATACTATTATTGGAAGTGAATTATTTTGAAATTTCCTTTTATTATTTTAGCTCTTAACCTGTTATGTAGTTGGTTGAGCACCACATCATCATTTATAATTTCTCTCTATATTTTGTTTTTTACGGATATATATATATATATTGTGTATATATATATATAAATAATATAATGCATATGCCAAGTCAATTATTAGAATTTAATTTATGCATATATGGACAGTAATGTGTGTATATCCCATATTTCATACTTATTCTAATATGGACCGTCATGTGTGTGTAAAGTATTTATTGCACATGATCCAAACTTGTTATGAAAAATGAGCCTGGATCTTTCTTTTTCAATTCCTCTTTATCGCAAAAGTTGCTGAATTGTCACATGTACACGTTTAAATTACATATATCATAAATAAAACTTTAGAAATGATTTTCTAACCAAATTTTAAAACTAGGATAAATAATTTTTATCACTTCTTTCTCGAAACCAGGTATATATTAATGTGTAAACTGAATATACTTAATGTAATATTTTTTCTTTTTGCTAGAAGATGTAATTTTTTTTTGCAAGCCTATGCATGCATAGCTGATTAGTTGTGGACCTTGTGGTCATCTAGTTACTACAACAACACATAATTATATGTGAAGAAAAATAAAAGTTACATTAATAACCAATTGTCGTTTTTTTTTTTTTTTTGCGATTTGCAGATATGTTGCGGTAGGAAACGAGCCATTCTTGACAGCATACAACGGGTCATACATAAACCTAACTTACCCAGCACTCGTCAACATCCAAACCGCTTTAAACGACGCCGGAATCGGAGATTTCATAAAAGCCACCGTTCCTTTAAACGCCGACGTTTACAATTCTCCGCCGGACAACCAAGTCCCATCGGCCGGAAGATTCCGTTCGGACATTATCCAAGAAATGACACTCATCGTTAACTTCCTCGCACAGAACAAAGCTCCTTTCACAGTCAACATTTACCCTTTCTTAAGTCTCTACTTAAGCAGCGACTTCCCTTTCGATTACGCCTTTTTCGACGGCCAAAACACCATTAACGATAACGGCGTTATCTACACAAACGTCTTGGACGCTAATTTCGACACGCTTTTAGCTTCTCTGAACGCGTTGAACCACGGAGACATGGAAGTGATTGTCGGAGAAGTTGGTTGGCCTACGGATGGAGACAAGAACGCAAACGTTCCAAACGCGGAACGGTTTTATTCCGGTTTGCTTCCCCGGTTAGCTAACAACGTTGGAACCCCTATGCGTAAAAGCTACATTGAGGTTTATCTTTTCGGATTTATCGATGAAGATGCGAAAAGCGTCGCTCCAGGAAACTTCGAACGTCATTGGGGGTTATTCAAGTTCGACGGACAACCAAAATTCCCGGTCGATTTTCAGGGACAAGGTCAAAAAAGGTTCTTAACCGGAGCTCAAAACGTTCAGTACTTGTTAAACCAGTGGTGTATGTTTAATCCTAATGGTCGTGGTAATATCAGTAAGCTTGGAGATAACATAGACTACGCGTGTTCTCTCTCAGATTGTACCGCTTTGGGTTACGGGTCATCTTGTGGCAATCTCGATGCCAACGGGAACGCGTCTTACGCGTTTAATATGTATTTTCAAGTGCAAAACCAAGAGGCTCAAGCGTGCGATTTCGAAGGGCTTGCGACGATCACTACGCGGAATATTTCTCAGGGACAATGTAATTTTCCGATTCAGATCGGAGAGCCATCGTCTGGTCATTATGATTATAGCTACGGTTCCTCGGTTAGGTTGGCTTTGGTGATAAGTGGCTTTGTGTTTCTTCTAATGACACAATAATGAGATTACATTTTTTTTTTTTGTTTATGTAAATGACTGATTATTATTGGTTCATCAATCATGTGATATTTCTTCCATTTGATCAAATAAAAAATACTCTGTTTTTTGTTTGACTTTTGGCTAACTAACCAGCTTAATTTTCATTATCTTTTTTACTGTAATATTTTATCATCACCAATCGATAAAAACAATTTTTCAGTCAGTTTGTGAATCATTTGATGACTAATGAAAACCCTAATCGAAAATACTATGCGGTTACTATTTCGAACTTAAAATAGTCATTAGTAGAACAAACCATATATACACCCACCATACGAAATGGCCTTAAGAGAAAAGAGACCACCACCGTGGGCCAATATACTCTCCTTCAATTCTTCGACCTTTTTGCCTTCAATGTTGTAGCATCAACCAAATTAGTCAGCAAGGAAATCAAAATGAGGCGGTATATTTCACAACAGTTGGAGTCATAGTTGTTTATGGGAACTTTACTTTGTTTTTCTCTGTCAAAACTCTCTTTCATCAAAGAAACTTGAGATGGTAAAAACTTGCCTTAGATTGCCTTGTGGTCCTCCTGGGGATGCTCCGCATTTGGTCCTCTCCTTCAGTCTCCAAATTTGTTGCCTTCAATGTTTTAGCATCAACCAAAGTCATTAAAATGAGGCCATATTTTTCACAGCAATATTTGGAGTCATAGTTGTTTCTGAGAGATCAGACTTTGTTTTACTGTCAAATTAAAGACTATTTCATTAAGAAAAACTTGCCTTTGATTGCTTCCTTGCTTTTGATTGCTTCCTCGCCTCTGATCGCTTAGCTTCTTCTTCTGCAGCCTGAAGATACATCTTCAACC